TACTTTCATCTCTGAGTCATTTCTCTAAATAGCACTTAAATTGTTTTATTTCCCAAATAACACTTAATAATGTCCATAATGTCCTGTGATGGTGAATATTTACTTGAATAATGACTAATGCATAATGACTAAAAGTGCTACATTGGGAAGAAAAACACATGTGGTGCTATTTAGGGAAAGTCATTATGTTTTAGTGCTATATGAGTAAATTCTTCAATAAATAATCCAAATGAGATGAACTCATCACTTGGGCTAATTTCTATATACCCATTAAAAGATACTACTTTCATCTCTGAGTATTTTCCCAATTTTGATTTTTTTTTTCAATCTTTGATCTATAATTAAATAAAATGTATATTGTCTATTATAAAATAATATTTTGAAAATATTTGATATAATAAATCTTATAAAACAATTTTGTATTAATATCTAATATCATTTTATTTAATTTGAAGTCAAAGTTTATCAATCTCAATTAAAAAAGTCAAAAATAGACAAATACTCAGGGATAGAGGGAGTAATACTTACTACACTATATTGTACTCTGTAGTCTGTAGTTCACAATTATTTCACCTTTAGTTTACAATAGTTTTAATTTTATTATATTAATTAATCAAGTTTTTAATTCTTGTTTTCTTGCTTAAAAGAGAAGAAATTATTCTATCAGAACCGCGTTCATCAATTACTTTTTAGTCAATCAATTATTCCTTGGCTGTCTCTTCGTTTAAAAGAATTCATAGCCACTTTTGTTTTAAACTTTTTTTCTTATGACTATTTCTACCTTTTCTTTTTAAAACTCTACACAATATTACGAAGTATTTTATTACCTCCTTCCCAATTACTATAGTTTCCTAGCATTTACTTTTGATTTTTGACCGAGTCCTTAATTAACAACTATACATCCAAAAATTCCAAACCACAATTTAAAAAATGCATGTTATCTTTGATCCATTGAAATATATATCATATTTTTATAAAATTTATTACGTAGTAATATACGGAGTATATAAAATTAGATTCCGTAAAATATAAAATGCCAATCTTATTTTAAAACGTGTGTGGATGGAGTAACATTATTGTGTCCATTGTCGAGAACATGATATGGGTACAATGTCCCATTTGATTGATAGATTATGTTCACATTGTAAAGAAACCATAGACCTACGCCCTTCTTGATTAAAGTTTAAAAGTTTATTTAAACTTTGACTTTATTATAAACAAATAACGTTCCTTTATTTTTGAGTGCACATTCCTTTAATACATAAGTTTAATATCAATACATCCATTTTAAAACCTAATGTTTAAACATCATGCGACATATATATTATATTTTTATATTGTAATATACATAGGAGAAATTTACCTAAATAAGACTAAAACATAACGACTTTCCTAATATAAGACCATATGTTTTTATTTCCCAATGTAGGACTTTTGGTCATTAACAAGTAGTCATTTTTCAAGTAAATGTCTAGCATTACTGGACATTATTCCTCCCACGAGGTCATTATTGAGTCCTATTTAGGGAATAAAAAAGTTTAAGTCCTACATTAGGAAAGTCATTATGTTTTAGTCCTATTTAGTGCAAATTTCACTATACATAGTCGGTTATGAAATGTAATGAGAATTTTTTTTAAGAAAAAGCCATGTGCGAAATTATTTTAGAACCTATTGTGTGAAATACTTTTTTGGTATAGAAGTTAATGATACTTTCATTGTCAATAATGTACAAAAAAGTTGGGGTTTCGGGGCTTTGGTTTGATCCTCCCGGATATACCCGTTTCCGATTTCTAATAATTGTAGTAATTTATTTTTTAAAAAAAATTCTTGTTCATTATATTTTATAATTTATGATATTTGATTAAAATTATTATGAATTATATTTATGTGTCATTTTGTGAAAATTTAAAACATTACGAAGTACTACGTACATATATTTAAAAATTACATTAATAATTTTACAAAACAAGAAAGGATATTACAATTTAATTTTATTAAATTACGAATGAAAATGTTTTTTTAAAGATATAATTTGAGAATAGTAGTGTGATGCCTCATTTCGGGACTAATTTTAGAAATGTTAGGAATCAGTTAACTCTGGTCACAATCTATCCATTTTTTTTACAATTTCAAACTATGACTTAGACATAACTTCTCATAGGTCAAAATGAATCTTAATTATGCTCATGTTTGACACTTTTCCAAAGGTTTTGGAAATTTAGGAACCTTAGTCTTTGACATCACTTTAATTGTTACGCCCCGAACCGATCCCACAACGTTGACAATCGTCGTACAACACATTAGAAATGCCAAATTATCGTATACCCAAGTAATTATCGTGACTAATAATGTATAAAGATGGCGAGTTAGATGAATGGGGGATGACTCACCGATTCGAGCGAGTCGGTTGACCCAACTCGGGATCCCATTTCCAGTGAGCCTAATGCAAGCATCATTGCAGAAATGGTTGCAGTTCTTGGTGATGAGATTGTAAGCATTCCCTCTGTACTTTTGGGCAAGGCTTTCCATTACTGCCCTCACCTCTCCCACGCTCATATCCGACCAACCCACCAAAACCGACCTCCGGAATCGGTACCCCTCGCACTTCTTCGGCTCCCCCTCGAAAATCCCCGCCGTCGGATACTCGTGTGCTCCGAACGCAAACTCCACCCCGTGCACTGCGTGTGTTTACAGGCAAAAAATGTGAGATTGTGTAGTTAATATTAATGCGTTAAACCATACTCCGTATTTTTTTGGTTAGCAATATCAGAGGATGGGATGACCCGAGGCTCCAACAACACTCCACTTGAAAAATTGATGGTTCCTATATCCTTTATTGTGCCTAAATCCCGCCGGTCCATTGCACCCCTAGCCCCCTCCCCCTCCATTGGCTACAGTGATGGAACGGAGGGGGGTCGTGGGGACTAGGGGTGGGCAGGGGAGATTTATGGGTAATAACTAGTATCAGATTTTGGGAAGGGACGCTAATTGGAGCTCATGTCATAGCATGAGATTGGTGACCAATGTCACAAGAATCGCCCTATTATACACTTATCTTATTACAAAAATAAAAGTATAAGGCAACGTTTGGTACACGAAATTCAAACTATGAAATTGGAATAGAGGACTTCAATTTCAATTCTTGTGTTTGGTAGCACAAAAAGTATGTTGGTTTGGAATTGATAGTGCAAAAAATGAATTGAAATTGGTGATGGAATTCCAATTTCAATTCAATTCTAATTCCATCAATTCCGTATACCAAACCGGCCCTAAGCGATATTCTTAGTTTTTATAGGTTAATTGAGCTTAATTGAGTTTGAATTTTGAAAGGATAGGCACACAAACGAATAAATAATTTTGAAAGTATTCAATTAGCCTTTTGGACAATTTACTTAATGGAAGAGATTAAATTTCAAACGAGCACTGAGTTCAAATCAAGGCACAGATCTGAATGACGATTCAGCTCACTGAGTCAAATCCGATCGAGAGAGAAAAAAAAGGAACAGGGGAAATTGGAAATGGTAAAGTTAAAATTGAAGAAATGTTTGATTTTCTCTATTGTTTTGATTTAGAAATTTAAAAAATAATTGTTTGTACGGACCTTGAACGCCGGAGTGATGAACCCCGAGGCCGAACCAATAGGCGTAGCCGTTAGCGGTGGTGAGATCGTAGACGCTCAGGTACACCGGCACGGAACCGCGGCGGCGGCTGTTGGCGGAGTTCTTCCAGCAGAGCATTCTGAATTCGCCAGATGATGAGTTCTTTTTGGTGGTTGGAGGGGCGGAGCACGGCGGCGGGTGGTGGCGCACGGCCGATTTATGGTAGGAGCTCAGTGATTTTAAGTGAGACAGGGAGGGGGAAGAGATGTTGGAGTCTACTCCCGAGTATGATCGGTGTATTTAATTAATTATTTATCCTTACCGCTAAGTATTCTTTGGGTGTCATTGCACATTTGAAAGAAAAATTTACCATATAGAACTAAAAAGTAATACATTTTTATTAGTAGGACCAAATATTTTTTATTTTCTTTATGACACATAATTCCACATGATCTGTCATATATTTCCTCATTAGCAACAAATGTTAGATAATGATTGATTATACGAATGACTCTATGAATGTGATCATTAACAACAAATATTGGATAATGACTGATTATTTCAATGATTATTCAAATTATTTTTAATAATGTCTTATTCTACTTGAATTGTGTAATATGTCATTTTTCTCAAAGGCAACGCATTTTAGAACTTTTCATTACCAAATGTTAGAGTAGATATGACTGGTCCTGTTTAGAAAAATGTGATATGTTTAAGACCCATTTTTATATGAAATGGATGTGAATAGATCCACTTCTACTCCAAAAATTGTCCACTAAAATATATTTGAAGTTTTTATACTTATATTGTGTTTCACTTTAAGTTTGTGATTGATGGCTTACGTTGATATAAAGTATCATTGTAAAATCTTGCAGTCGTACTAGCTTTTTATGTTAGTTTAGCAATCAAAATATAAGTGTAAATTTTCCGTACAATGAATATTGGAAGAAGTTCTGAATTAAAAGAAACTGAAATAACTTAGTAAAAACTGAAATGAGTTGGAAGACACGATCATTATATCGTCTCCGTCACCGACACAATACAATCACAATGTCACAAAAGCAACCAAACTTCCACCATCATTCCACTATCACCGCACCACCTCCGCCATGTTTGCCACCACTACCGCCTAATTCTTTAAGCCAATTATTTTTCCAGAAGTCCATACCACCATTGCGTGGTTCTTTAGATATTGCTATTCCTTTTCAAGTATTTGTTTCAGTAGGCAAAAGTCCAATTGTTATTTAGTATGGTTCATCCCAAGTGTAACCCCTAGTGCATCTTTAAAATCTAAAAAAAATTACGCAAAGACTCTTAGAAATGAGTGATGTCAGGTTAATTCTCAAAAATCAACAAATAACGCTACGACTCCTAGAAATTACGGAATACTCATTTCTAACCATATATTGAGTCAATATTTAAAATGACATGTATTTAGCTAAGTTATTAGTGTAGATTAGCGGTGAAAATGCATAATTTCTAGGAGCAGTGATGTCACTTGTTGCATTTCGAAGTACTAGTACGTGTAAAACCATAAATTTCTTGAGGTATTTATAGAAATCGGGGGATTCAACCCACGGATAATAGAAGTACGAAGAACGTAAATAGGAATAATAATTACTTCTTAGAAAATAGGATTTCAGTATCACTTGTATTAGCCTAATTCAGCTTGAGTTACAATAGAAGTTTCACTCCTTATTTATAGTCTATATTCAGGTATATACATATTATGTAATTGTGTCCTACATTTTCGGCATGATTAATCTAACTTGCGTCAATTGTGGACAGAGAATCAGTCATAAACTATCTACGAATCTACAATTAGTGGGATGGGCCACTCCACTCATTTAACGATACGGGCCACGGCTCAATTATATAATCCACTCTCCCCTCGGCCCGACCAACGCTCCATTCCAGACCTTGACATTCAACTGGGCCTAACACCCCATTGGGCTCCAAATAACACATTGGCCTACTCTTCTTATTCACTAGGCCTGATATCCATGGAATATTTCCAAAAGTTTATCATCTACTACATTTTACTTAGGGGCTGTTTGGCAACTTCTGAATGGGTAAGTGCTGAACCAGTAAGAGGTCTGAATCATTAAGTGCTGAACCAGTAAGAGGTCTGAACCATTAAGAGCTAGTATATTGCTTAACTATTCAGAGGCAAATGTCTGATCAATTCAGATAAGAGGTCTTTCAGACTCTGTATAATACTTAACTATTCAGAGGCAAATCTCTTAACCATTCAGACATCTGAACCATTAAGAGGCTGAAACAAACAGTCTGAACCATTAAGTGTTGAACCATTCAGACATCTGAACCATTAAGAGGCTGAAACAAACAGCCCCTTAGTTAGCTACTTAATTAACTTACTAAATACTATACCTTTGAAAAATTAATTATTACGTATTAAATATAAAATTGTAAGAGTAGATCTATCCTACATCGAAAATTGAATAGAAAAGTAATCAGTATATAAGCTCTTGAGTTTAACTCAAGAACTTATGTACCGATTAGTCGGTTACTTTTCTATCCAACTTCCGATGTGGGATAGAATCTAACAAAAATTACGCTATGTACAAGAAGGGCCGATCCGGATCGGAAGGATGTGCAACAGGCATACCCGCATAGAAAATGTAAAATATACTAATAATTTGATACTCCCTCAGTCCCTTTAAGATCCTCTCATTTTGACTTTTTGTGGTTTTTAAGGAGAGTTGAAAAAGGTGAAAGTTTACCATAATACCCTTAATGGAAATGGGTGGAGTGTATTAAATAAGGTAGGTGAGGTGTAATAAATAAAGTAAGTGAGGGTAGTTGTGGTATTTTAATTGTTAAAAAAAGTAATGAGAAGATCTATGGTGGACAAATAAAAAAGGCTAATGAGAAGATCTATGAGGAACGGAATGAGTATTTTCAAGCAAATTAAGAAATTTACAGAATTTAATAGAGCGTATAATTCAATTAATTTTGACTTAATTGAAAATTATTACTATTGGAGTAAAAATGATTTAAACCAGACAATGACAGAAAACCTCAACTTGGGTAATGGGTATAACATTCCCTCCAAATTCCAATCAAACAAAACCTAACGCTACGTAATTAGGTCATGTAGATTAACATTGGAACACTTTTGAGTCAACATTTTTGTCCTATCTTTGATATAGCCATATAGGCACCAGTGCCTCTATGGATGGAATTTATTTTCAATAAGGTATATTTAATAAAAATTGGTACTCCCTCTGTCTCAATTTTATTATAAAATGAGGTTTACAAGAAAAAATTTCTTTTTTTTGAAATCATTCTATTTACAAATCAGTATATCACTAAGAAATAAAAATTACATATTAAAAAACTAAGTCAAAAGTTCTACAAAACAATAATTGACAAAGTATTTTATTTTATCAAATACTTAATAAAATCACGGGTTTATCATTTAGATTTATTAAATTATTATTGGGTGAACTCCACTTGTAGATTTAAAAACTACTAATTCATAGATGGTCATTCTAAAAATTTACAAAAATCCAAGGTCGATTTGTATGAAAAAATTCATCCGTCTCTAAAAGATTGCTAAGATTTGACTTTTTGGTCAAAATGTAGCATTCTTTGACCAGAAATTATGGAAAAAGTATATATAGTTATTATAATGTAATAAATTTAGTAAATTTGGGTTTATTTTAAAATATAATTTAAAAAATAAAATTTTTATAATATTTAATTATTTTAAATCATATTTAATTTATGGTTAAAGAGTGCCACAATTTGACCAAAAAAGTTAAATTGCGGCAATTTTTAAGGATGGATAGAGTAAAAAACATAAATTTTAATATATCAACCCTATATGTGAAGTACGAAATAGTGGAATATACAAATCAAACGGTGACATTAATGTTAGAATGATAGTATTGTTTAATATCAAAATTAAAAAAATTGAACATATTTTTTCAGAGATTTTTTTTACTCCGTATTACTTTTTTATATTTTAGGTCGGACTATAATAATCCAACATGTTTAAAAGATAATTTGAGTCACCCAACTAGTATGTAAAACGTTCTTCCAACATGATTTTTATTTTCATATACATAAATTTGCATACATAATTAAACTATATTTGTAAATCCATCATGTCTATCCGAATACAAATAATGTTGGAATGACCTAAGGGACAAATAAGCATTTTCCATGTTGAAAGCTTGATTTTCACAAAAGGCTAAAATTAAAGGTCACACATCAACTGTGTAAAAAGATTTGGTGTGTAATAAATCAAAGGCATACAAATCTTAGGCCAATTTTCATTTGAGTAAAGTGATGTGACTTCACAACTTGTTTAGGGTAGAGCTTATTGGGTCATTAGTCAAATTGCATTGCAATTTTTTTAATTACCCCGAGGATTACGGAGTATATATACTAACTTCCTTTCTAATTTGATGCATAAGATGTTTAATTGACTAATAAAGTGTTTTTTAAGTTAAATTTACTTAAATGTTGGCGTAAAAAATATTTTAAAATAATATGTTAGTCCTAGGAATCAAATGGGAGGCACCAAAGAAGGATATCATGGCTTTGGATGTAGATGGTAGCATGAGTAACAATTGTTGGAAATTATTTTGGAGGAAGAACGTTGCGGAGCAACGTTAACAAAGAATGAGAAGAATAACTTGATAGAGTATAACGAATTACGTAGAATGCTTTTAAATCAATGTTATTTCGGGGTATATGAAATATTTTATTCGGATAAGACGTTAATCAAGAACAAGCAATGAAAATCGGATGCCTCAACCATACCTCTTAGACTCTATTTATAGAGTCAAAAATTAATGATCAGACGTGAACGTTCATGCGAGAAGATAAAGTTTGAGAAACACGAAAGTTGGCTTAAGGAGACAAACGTTTGCGCGAAAAGATTCTTGCGGTTTTCGAGTTAATTTGGCATTTATCCACACGTCCAAATCGTTTAACGTTTTGAACTTCCTTCACAAAAATTGAAAGATTTTAATAAAGAAATAACGTCTAAAATAAAAAAATTCCAAGCTGTCGACCCTGCTATCCAGGGGTTGCCGCCCCTGAACCTTGCTATAAATTCGTAATATCGTTGAACGAGTGCGCACTCCGTACCTCCTAACTCGTTAGACAATGTCTATTACAATTCTTGTCTGATCTAAATAAATCCAATTGCACAAATTAGTCTATCACACTAAAATCGCCAGCAACAATGATTTCGGTGTGGGAGGAGTAATCCGAGATTGGCAAGGGGAATGGATTGATGGCTTTACGTTCCATTTTCATGCAGATCACTTGGCGGAAGTAGAAGCTATGGCAATCCTCAGAGGCCTCGAATGGATTTGGTCAATGAATCTCATGAATGTTAGCACCCATAGTGATTCTTTGAGGGTGGTTGCCTTGATTCAAGAACCTAAAAATGATATAAGAAGACCAATCCGAGACATAATTTAAAAATGTAAGTGGTTAATTCGCTTGAATTGGAGAGTGTAAATTGTTCATGCCATGAGAGAGCAAAACAATGTTACCGATGGACTAAAAAAAAATGGTGTTCAATCAGAATAACACCTGGATTACTTTCGATTCACCTCCAGAGGAAGTTTACGATGTTTGTCATCATGATAATAAGAGTGGAATGCCAAGCAATCGGAAGGGATTCAAGATACTAACTAGAGACGTCTGTCTCCTCTTGTGCCCTCCTTGTAGATTTAAAAAAAGGTTAAATTATACAGTGTCTCTTTTTTTGATGGCAAATTCTTCCGTGAATTTAAAGTACATGCTCATCTAATAGACTTTAGTGTATGTGTAATATAAAAGAAATGAACTTTTTTATACAAAATAGAAAAATGTCTACATGAAAGTCCATGAAAAATGTGAGAAAATTCATATTTTAAATGTAGACCTTGGAACAATGTAAGCATCACTCTTTGTTTATATATTGTTATTAATTTTTTGTTAGAATAAAGCAAGCTCTCGTATCCCTTGTGGTTTGGAAAGTTTAAACCAAACCCTCCCTGCTTTCAAAATTTATTTCTAAAATTTCAATGGTTTCAAAACATTGTACTCACACCCTCTCTATTTTCCAAACCATATCGTGCACCGGTGCTCATTTCTAATTCTTATTTGTTTTTTGTTTTTTCATTTTTTCTCTATTTATTTATTTGTCTATGAAGGTTTCTTTAATTTTTTTTAATAAATTTTTTTATGTTCTTAAAATTTAATTTTTTTTTGTTTAAAATAAAAAATAAGTAACATATATAAAATAGGAAATAAAATAAAACAAAAAATTAAAAAGAATATTGGTTTTTGACATCTCAATCCTGAGGACTTTTTTAGACATTCTCAAAATTTTTATTTTTGCATAATAGTGTTTTTTGTATGTTTTAGTTTTTTTCATATTTTTCTTTTTTTCATTCAGGATTGTTTTTTTGAACTTCCCGTTTTGTTTATTCTAGAAAACAAAAATGTGAAAATGTTTAATTTGAGATAACTATTTTTTTCTATTTTAATTTTTTTTTTCAAACACCAAAAAATTGAAATTTCGTTTTTTTATTTCAAACACCAAAAATTCTTTTAACATTTTCAAAGAGATGAAAAACAAAGTTAAAAAGAAAAAAACCAGAGAAAAAAACAAAAAATAAGAAATTTGCCCTATGGTCTGAAAAGTGAAAACTATGCACCAATGTCCATCTCTTCGCGGGAAAATGACTGAAAAATGATTGGACGGGGTGTCGATGCAAGATTGTGAAATCATGAGGATTTTAGAAATAAATTTTTAAAATACATGGACTATTGATGCCTATTTTCCAAAATACATGGGGGAGTAGAGCACTTTGGCCGTTTAAATAATATAATGAAAATATCTCCTTTTTAAAAATTTTGATGTAATTTTTAAATGTATAATCTTTATTCAACTTTATCACAAAAGTCAAATCTTATTTTTTTTATTTTCGTTATCTATTTGATAAAATATTATAATCATGCATGTCACCTCTTGTCTTGACGAGTCTTTTATGTAGTTTTAAATATATAATTTTTATTTTTAGTTTTGTCCCAATATATTCTCGTTAATTGAAAATAATGCTCAGTTCTGTTCCTCGACTTACAGCCGTTAAAACGGCGTTAAAACGACGTTAAACTTTATACTACTTTTATGTATTTTTATTTATATAATTTTATTTCTTGTTTTTATATCTATGTAACTCGATTATTAAAATGGTGTCGTCAAATTGTATTGTAAATTGACTTTTATTTTGAATGGAAGTGACAATAATAAAAATACCCGGAGTAAAAGAAAAATACGGAGTATTCGCTATTTCACCTATAGTTTTAGTGACAAGTCTAAATCTAACTTTAACACTTCTTGCTGAGATTTGGAATTAGAACCGCCGGCGGCGTTGCGGCCGCCATCCATCCTCCGTCCATCTCCGGCAGAGGCCATGTGGACTGCTAGATCAAACCTGAGCGGCGCAGCGCTCGCCGTCGATGACCCAAGCTTCGTCGCCGTCGTACTTGCATGGTATCCCTCCGGCGCTCTGGGCCATGCATTATAGCCGCCGTAGAAGCTCTGAGACGACGGTGACCCGACAAAAGACGCCGGCGATCCGAAATAACTTCCGGGCTTATGGATCGTTGAATGCACGTGATGAATCCCAACAAGCGATCGATTACTGTAGGCCGAGCCATACAGGGGAAGAGAAACGGCGGAGTTGTACCCGAAGGCGGCGGCGGCGGCGGCAGCCACCGCCGCCGTACTCTGCCCTCTCTTGGCCAACGTCCGCTCCCGCTTGTGAGCATTCTGGTGGCCTCCGAGCGCCTGGGAGCTGTAGAACTTTCTCTGGCAGTAGTTGCACGAGAAAACGCGGCGATCGGCGGCGGCATCGTCGGTACTCCCCGGCGACGACGCCCGACAACCGCCCGCCGCCGAATCCCGGCAGCCCAAACTCAAATCGAGCGAAACGGCGTCGTTCTTCCCTTGTAGCAGTAATAAACTCTGTTCTTGTTCTGTTTCTTCTTCCTCTGTTTCTTTCTGGTTTTCCATAACACAAACTTCAAGATTTGATTTTGCAGGTTGAATATAAATGGGAAATAATAATTAAAACTAATATCAATAAAAAAAATATAATTGGAGTGGCGTGGGGGGAGAATAATGGTGATTATGGAGAATGAAAAGTGGGTTTAATAGCAAGAAAAGTTTGAAATGTTAATTGATTAAGAAATAAATTATGGAGTGATTTGTAAGGGAGTAGCAAGAATTACAGTTACAAGATGGGATTATGGTAAGAATGATTGTTTTTGAATAATTTTGTTGTTGTTAATTATTACTACTACTAAGTACTATTAGTATTAATTTATTGTTATGATCAAAAGAGATTGAGACAGAAAGAGGTGTGCATGTCAACCATGTGTTCCCATTGCTATCTTTATTTAATTTGCACAATCCTTAAACTTGTCTTTTGCTCATTCTCTTTTAGAAGTTTTATGGTAGATATAAGGTCTACATAAAACTTTTCACATATTTTTTTATTTTAAAAAAATTTATTTCAACACTTGGAAAATGTTTATTTTAACATCTTGAACCTTGAGTCCATATAATAATTTGCTTTCTTTGTTTTTTCACTCCATTCCTTCTAAACTAGGCATATTTGTATATTGACTTTATAAATTAACTTCAGATTTAACTTTTCACGATCTCCAATGTGACATTTTGATCATTAATATCTCTATTTTTATATGAATATATATTATAAAAATAATATATTTGAAAATTATGTTTTAAATGAATATATTATAAATAAATTTATATAAAAATTCAATATATTGTTTCCATAATAGGAAAAATTTTATATGACGAAAGAAAAAAATATATATCATGGGTCTTATCAAGCTTTTTTTGCCAACAATGTTTATTGGGGTGAAAAATTTTCACTAATAACACTCGGTACAAATTTTTTAATTATAACAGTAATTATAGAAATATTTTCATGGAAAGAATAACAAGAAAATTGGACAACGAAACTCAAATATAGAAAATATATTATAGATTTTCCAAAGAAAATTTTATACTATAACGTGTCATCTCACATGCAATCGAAATTTTCTTTTGATTTTTTACTCGAACCTTACACGTTTACATTATTTGTTTTAAAATTGAGCGACAATAACATTTTACCTCGGGATATTTTAATCTACAAATCTCTGACATTATATCAATGAATTTACTCAATTACAAGCTCAAACTTGCAGTTATAAATTAAGAAATTTTTTAAAGTTGTATCCAAATTGTAACACTAGTGACTATAAATCATCATTTCAATTACATTAATGCATTAAACACAAACATTTAAAACACTACTATTGCATGTCCGTTAATCACGAGTGTGACTTTGCATATATAAATACACTGCCAGTTACATATATAATTCAAAATTCAAACTGCAGAAAATTACTTACATAATACGGAGTATTATGGAGTTAATTAACGGAGTGTTTCCTTGATTCTTACTTATTTCCGAGAACTAAAAGCCTGTTTAGTCATCTAATTGGGCTCCAAAGTATTCCTCCCTCCGGGAACTAAAAACGTTTTCAATTTTAACTTTTTTTGGTCAAACAATAACATTCTTAAACCAAAAATTAAACATAATTTAAATAAATAAATATTTAAAATATCTGATATATTAAAAATATATCCTAAGATTAACTTAATTATATTGAATTTATATTATAATTCAATATATTATTCTCACAAATTATGGTTAAAGACTGTTTAACCAAAAAAATCAAAACAGAAATAGTTTTTAGAACATGGAAGGATGAGTATACAGCGTGTAACACAAAAACTCATGAGTGATGCTCTAGAAAAATGTTGAGTAATATTGACACAATTATATAAAGACTATTATTATGACTCTAAATCTCAATCACAAAATACACATACAAAAAACAATCACAAAGCATACATACACAAGCTACAAACTAAGCCATAAAACCATATCTACAAGAAACACATGTTATGGCCTAATGGAATATCCAACTACCCTAATCCTAAATCGTCAAAAGTTTTGCCCTAAAATCATATCCCCAACAAGTCGGGTTAATGGTATATCCAACCACCTTAATCCTAAATCGCCAAATGTTTCGCCCTAAAAAATATCCTCAATAGACCTTAGCTAGTTCCATACCTAAAGGAAATGAAAATTCAAATAAGAGACTTGAGATAGAGAAATACCACACCCTTTGCCACTACTCCCAAGATAAAAAACCTATGCACATTTAGAAAAAGAATGAATCTCATCCCTATGATCCTCTCATGATTAGAGGAACAATTACAAGTGAAGAAACAAATTGAGGTATAATGACAAATAAAGAGTGTGATGTCTTTAAAAAAATCCAAGACTTGCATGTTAAGTTTAATCACCTTTCATTGTCATTACCAAAAGTCAAACTCGACTCAATATTACCTCTATTGCACCCGTTTTTTATATCTACACTACGCCTCCGCGAAGACAAACATTTTGATAAATGAAGAATGAGATGCAATGTAATACTCCTCTAAAAGACAATGTTTAAGTGACATTATTTACAGCTCAATTTATGTATAAAACTATAAAAGCACATAAAGCAAAGTGGAGATAAAGGAAACCTTTGTTTCTGCACACTTTGAATCTTATTCCAAAGTAGTTCATCACTTCTAAAAATCAAAGTCTAACAATCAAAATTAACCACTAATGTCTTCCACATTCCGAAACAAATATAAAACACAAATCGATTCTGACCAATTCTGAGAATCATAATGAAAGAATCAACTGATAGAACTAAAACCAAATGAGCCCTAAGATTAAGAATAAAGAGATAACATCATAAACAAGATACATTCTTCATTCGAGAGTATATGAATGAAGCTCCTGGGCATCATAATCATGAATTAAAACCCATAAATGCAGCTAAAGAAACACAACTAAACTGAAATTCTCTTTTTATTTTTTTTAAAAAAATATTCACAAATTCCTTTTTCTTTCTTTCTTTTTCTTGAGTACATTACATGTCAAGTTTCAACTTTCGACACCTAGACCATACAACACACCTGCATATTTATCCATGGAGCCGCTAAAGAAGTTGTCTTTCAACTTGATGAAAGTACAAGCAGTGAGCAAGCTATCAGACCCGGCCTGGTGCGAAATCCCAATTCTCTTCACCTCCAAAAGCTCAGCCAGCTTGTTCAACCCGCCGTGCAAACTGTTGCAGAACTTCATCAGGTGTTTGATGTCATACACGACCGGAAAGTAAGCATTGATCAACGTGAAGAACCCGGATTGGGTATCGGGCAGGAGCTTGCAAGTTAGGATCTTGAGCAAGTACCCGAAGTCGTACCCGCTGTGGAAAGTAACCCAATGGACACTGTCATTTAGAACGACTCCTGAAGACATGAGAAGCTCTGCAAAGTTATTTGCAGAGATGCCCTTCTCTGTGTTCTTCTTGAAATCAATCCCACTCTGGCGCAACAGCTCAATCGAGTCGCTTGCTGCCACGTCATCGTTCGGGTTGAATTCCCGGAAGTTGAACTGCCATATGCAGTACTTATCCGTGCCGCATTTGGGCAAATTGCCCTTCTCGTCCGAGAAGGTTAGCCCGAGTTGAATCAGTTTCAGCATGTCCACATTGTCCTTTAGGGTTTGGTAATGGTAGGCATTGCTGTTCTTGAAATTCCCAACCGGACGGATAACTATGCCAGGGAACTCGGTGTCCATGGCGATGTACGGATAATCGTCAACCAGATCTCGGATCAGAGCGAACTCCTCTTCCAGATTATCTTCCCAAACTTCTCGGATCAGAACCGAATCGTCATCGGGCAAGACCGCCATGTCTATCAAACCCCAATAATCGAAATTCAAAAACCCCCAGCCAAATTCTGCACACGGGCATACGGAATCTAGAACAGATCTACGATTAACGGTTCAAATCCAAACCAGATCTGCAGCATCGGCAGGATTATAACACGGAATCAGCCAAAAAAGTTCAAAAAAGTTGAGATCCGGGCAGATCAAACCCGATACAATCAGATCCAGCACAAGAACAGAACAGAAATTCAGAAAACGAAACGGAAACTTGCCTTGGGTCAGAAAAGATTCAATCTTTGAGCCTCAAATCCGAGAATCAACCGAAGGGATGAAGAACTGGCGGATTAATATCACGATTCTTACGATTTCCTTCGACTGGGAAATCAATGGAAGAGGCAAAAAGAGGAGAGGAGGAAGAAGAAGACGATGGGATTAAAGGCGAAATTGGGGGGGTATAAATATTGAAAAAGAGATGGATTAATTTGGGTGAACTGGTCCCCTTCCTTGTTCACCTCCTGCTGGAAATAGGATACTGCTTTCCTTTTGAATTTTTTTTACCCCTTTTCTTTTTTCCGGATATAGAACAGTGAGAAAGAAGAAAAATCTCCGCACAAAAAGAATTGATTAATGGGAACTTTGTGTTCTTTTAGGCAAATTTTTTTATGACGCCAAAATGGGATTTTTTTTCTTGGGACACGTCAAAAGTGAGAAATAGCAAAAAATTCTAATCTTTATCTTACTCGAGAACAATAAAGCTAGGGGTAGCATTTGTGTTTAATTTGCATCCCATAATCCCAAACATACATGGACAATAATTTTTTCTGCACAAAAAATAATTATGTATATATCTATGATAAACGAGTGGGTTCTTATCACATTGGAATTCCATGTCATGAGATAATTTCGGGGTGTTTCAGTGCCTGTTTCAGTGTCCCGTTCATAAAATTGACAGTTCATACCTCCCTAATTCCTCCGGTAAACCCCTTACCCCGCCCCGACCCGGACACACCACCACAACCCCTTCAATTGCACCCAGAAATTAATTCTGATTTTGAAGTCAAATTTTGAAGGGGGTGGGGTTGTGTGTCTGAGTCGGGACGGGGTAGGAGGTTTACCGGAAGGGTTAGGGGTTAGGAACCGTCAATTTTACAAACGTGGCACCATACCAGAGTACTCCGGGTCATCCCATGACATTGTCGGGCAATGTCATGAGAACCGTCCCCATGATACTTATTTTCACTTGTTTTTACAAAAATCAAATCAGATTCAATCTGATCGGTGTATGGCTAAGTGATAGTTACTATATGATTGAATTATCTTACATACAACTAAATAATAATAATATGTTACATTATGATTAAATAGAAGATTTAATCGTAAATAAAAGATTATATCTTTAAATAAAGGATTATATTTGTATGATTTCTAACACGATTAGTACAATATCTATATTTCTTACATAGACAACAAAAAGACTAAAAAGGAGTAAAAAATAGAAATTAGAAAAATAGAAGCTTAATGTTTTTGTCACCAATTCAAAATGGAGTTACAATGCCTATTTAGGTGATTTCTGGACACAATTAGCATAGATTTAAAAAAATATCTTTTTTCTGTGACATAACATTCATATTTTTCAATTATTGGCTATTGCCATCGCTTTTCTTCTTCTATATTTTCAATGTATTATTGAATTTTTGTTTAAATAAAGCAAATAAATCTAGAATAAAAGTTATTGGGTGTATAATATATTGATGAATAATTAACAATTATACGAATGATTGTTATAAAGTTAAAAAAATTAAATGATAGTTTCGTATAATAATTTTAACGTTGATTTTAATCAGATTAGATCCTATTACATAAATTCAAATCAAAACAGATCAAATAGGATCAGATCCAATCATATCAAATGACATCAAACTTTAATTTAAAAAATAAAATTAGATCTAGCAAACAGAACGTAGCCTAAATAACTCTTTTATTATGTTTTAAAGCATCTAATTTAGAGGTAAGAGCAATGTTTTGCTCCTATTTTAGATGGGTCCTTTCTCTAAATGGAATGATACATTTTTTAGAACATTTAAGTAAGGAAAACATGACATTCTTTTAGAAACAAATGGTGTAGTTTGTTGGTGATTTCTGACATGAGTTATTTTATGTATCATGACCTACTTAGATCGTACGAGAATTTTAATACACGTTGTTAAACAAGTTAGAAGAAGCAGATTGCCCGCTTGCTCAATGATATTGCAAGCTAAGGGAGTAGTAGGCATCCCGGAACGGTAGTCCCCGATAGTAGGGTCCAAGCTAAGGGCGGCAAACTCCAGTAGCGGGGATTTTCTATTTTATTTTGAACGTTGTTGGTTTGTGAAAATTCTTAAAATTTTTGTAAATGGAGTGCTCCAAAGTGATGTGCATTTATATTCATAAAACAACACATTCGGATGTATAGTTTACCTTCATATAAATACTCCATATATAAAGCCTTTTTTATGCAATATAATGTTAAAAAACTAAACAAGTAGACATGATCACATGCCCCAGGAATAAGATTGAAAGAAACGTAAATACTCCGTATGACATAGAGATTATGGATACATTGAACAAACTATATATATATATACACACACACACACACACACACACACACATATATATACACACACTATGGGAGCTAGAATGAATGAAGATATGGTCTCTTCATCAGAAATGTTCAATTCGTGATTTATATTACTATGCATTTTTTAAGCTTTAATTTAATATGACATGATTGAATATTTCTAGTTTAATTAATCTGCCATGGCTTGATATGAATATTCCCTGTCCATTTTTAATTATATTCATTGCCCACAATTTGTTTAAATATGCATAGTACATAACATTTGTCCTTGTTTAATACGGAGTAACTTTGATGTGAATACTAAATACCCAAGTACTCCGTATTTGTTTGGGACCATATTTGTAATAAGGGTTATGATAATACAAAATATAAATAACTCTATTCGCCTCAATTTAGGCTTTGTTTGGGAAAAATGTTTTCGATTAGCGTTGACGGTTCAGATAAAGTTTTAATGATGCTGATTAATTTTGAACAAGCTAACGTTAGAGACTATCGTCGGATAGCTTTTTCAAAATGATGATGTCAAACAGGGCCTTAGTCATTCACTTTCCAAAAGAATATTTACTCCCCCCGTCCCTAAATATTTGCAACGTTTGCTTTTTCAGCATTGCGGAAAATTTTGTTTATTTCTACGTTTTCATTGGTTATTTGATAAAATAAAATATTCTTGACACCTTTTATTTCGAAGAATTTTTCATGTAATTTTTTGATATGTAAATTTTAGTTTTTATTTCTATACCAATATATAAATAAAATGAATTTAAAAAACTTGATATTTTGCTTCGGGAATACAAGTGTGGCAAATATTTAGGGACGGAGGGAGTATAAGAAATGCATTTGAAATAACAAATTAAATAAATCTTTCAAATGATCATGCATTAATTCTAATAGTGCTCCATACTATGGTCATGTTTTCTTTAACTTATTCTTATTATTTATTACTTTTTCTTAATAAATCAATTCAAGTCGTATTATATCAGATCAAAAATAGTTTTAAATATAACTACATTAAGATTAAATTAGATTGTAATATTGTCATTCCTTGGCTTCTTGCCAAACTTCATCATTGAAACAAAATGTTGGTATACAGAATGAAAAAAAATATCAAATATGTCATGATATGACATTCATGCTTGGTGTCAAAAGAATTACACTGTAAAATAGGACCATGCTACACTTACACCAAAAAATATACCTCATTTGTACACCACAGGTTTGCACAAACATTTCGATGGTTTACACCGACACAAGTGTTGGTGCGTTAATAAAAATTCACACGGACACAAATGTTGGTGCATTTAACAAAAATTAGTTTTACACCAACACAAAGTGTTGGTGCAAAACTGCGGGGTACAACCATTGGGGTACACATATCATAATCCAAATCAAAACTAAAGACTCTAGAAAATACTCTCTCTGTCTTGAATTAGTCGTCCTTTTGTTATTCATAGGCTAAATTTTTTCTTTCTTTACTTATATTTGGTAATCATTTGCTAGAATAACATAATCTTGTCGCATCTTGTTTAATAGAGAATTCAATGTCATTTTTAATATTTCCTTCGTCAAAAAATGGTATTCCCTAATCCAATTTTCATACATTTTAAGGACAGTTGAAAAAATGATATTAGTGCATGTTTTACCCTTATTAAAAGTGAGTAAAGAAGTATTGTAATTGAACTAGATGGGGTGTAATAAATGAGAAAAGAAAGGATAGTTGTAGTTTTTCAAGGAAAATGTTTCCCCTAGACCTAAAGTTCATGCTTATTTTATAAAACTTAATGCATTTGTAGTATGAAAATGTGGGCCTTTTGCAAAAAATAAAAAAAAATCATATGTAAGTCCATGAAAAACGCGAGAAAATCCATATTTTAAATTTTGATCTTGAGACCATGTAAGCATCACTCGTATTTCAAATATTAAAAAATGTAATGAGAAGGTCATTTCATATTTAAGATATTTTCACCTTATTTTGAAATTTGAACTATTAATAAAAAAATTTAAATTCAAAATAAATTCAGTCAAATCACGTTATCTAGAAAAAAGACGATTACTTTGAGACGGAAGGAAATATGAGTATATACTAGATACTACCTCCGTCTCTGAGTATTTTTCCAGTTTTGACTTTTTCCGGTCAACCTTTTTCAACCTTTGACCTATAATTAAATAAAATATATATTGTAATAAAATAATATTTTGAAAATACTTGATATAATAAATTTAATTAAACTCCTTTTGTATCAATATCTAATATCATTTTTATTTAATTTGAGGTCAAAATTTACTAATTTTGATCAAAAAAATCAAAAGTAGACAAATATTCAAGAACAAAGGGTACATAAATAGTGGAATAGCATCAAGAAAACAGCACACGAGCAAGAATGCATACAGCCATGTGTTACAAACATAAGTAATAATCAATAATAATAATAATAGAGGGGGGAATGAGAGGATTTATGTAATTGACTATTCGATGGTTTTGTTTGTAAATTGCAATCAATTCTCAAGTAAGGCCCCGTTTGGATGGGTGATAAAGACGGGTAGGATAATCAAATGAATACAACTGAAACAAATCCATTTGCCATGTTTGGATTTTGACGAGGTGTAACAACATTTTAATTTTAAAAATTAAAAAAATAATTGTACTTTGAATCCCACAAATTTGATCTATTGATGGATTACTCAAAAAATAAAAAGTGATCTCCTCCAAAACAAAGTTCACATCTGGCTTCATAAAATCTAATGAAAATAGTGAAATTTAAACAATATTCTATAGTCTATTCGTTCCAAATTAAATTATATATTTACTATTTATAAAGTTAAATTTTATTTTCTTTCTTTTTCTATTTTCCTTAGTCATTTAATAAAATAATATATATAAAAGCTCGAGAGTTACGCCATCACATGGTGACATTATTCGTTACACCATCGCACTTAGAAAGAGTACTTACTGTACGTCTATACGTGCTCTAATTGAAAAATTGATTGCCCCAAATTGACAATCTCAATACTTAATTTAATTAAATACAATTTAATTGCCCCCGACCCGATTTTGGAAGGATTTTCACTCCTAGATCAATTATATGGGCTACGCCAAATTTGTCAAGAAAGCAAAGAGGAAAATGAAGACTTCGTTCGAATTAAAGTTTGCTTTGTTTTCAAAAAAACAAAAAAAAAAAGTTGTGTGGTTTTGTTTTTATGTTAAGTCTGATTGTTTATTTTCTCATTGTGTTAGTTTTCTTTGTTTCATCATTCTAAGAGCATTCACAATGGCAAGACAATGCCTTGTATTGCCATGCCATGTCAACAAATTCTACTCAAATCATGGCATTCTATGGTCATTCCATCCCACTTTTCATTCCATCTGCAAGGCATGACTCTCTCATTTTTATTTTTTTAATATTTTTAATATTTGTAATTTTTGAAAAAAATATTTTTAAAAGAAGTAAACATATTTTAATAATAAAATAGATTTTTAAAATAAGTTTTTATAATTAAAAATTATTAAAAAGTGTAAAAATAGACAAAAACAACGACTTGTCACTGTATGTTATGACACTCCACTCATTTGCCACACGGTGACTGGGTTACTTTTTATTGGTTGAAATATTCCATGTCACCGTGTGACATTTCATTTTTGTCTTGTCATTGTCAATGATCTAATGACTATGATGTTTCTTGTGTTTTCCTTCTTTATTTTATCACCTCCAAAATTATGATGAAAGATATAGAAGAGTTGTTTGATTTATTTTTGTTTTTATTTTCTTTTAGGTGGTTATGAATATCTCGTCATTTCTTCGTTTAATTTGTAATATAGAAATTGAGATTCAAAGCCAAATTTAATCCTTGAGTGAAACTAGAACTTGAGTACTTAACTTTTACTATTGTCTAAATTAAAGTGTATATATATTTGGAGTCTACTTTTATTTATGTTGAAGTTTAAAATATATTAATGAATGTTTTATTTTTTTCACCACTTAATTAACTTATCCTATATCAAATATTCCTAGAAATATGTTACCTTGATTCTAATGATTTCCTATCGACCAAAAACATCTGGTATGAAAGGTTACCTCACATAGAACATTTTCATCTTTAAAAAAAACTCATAAATATCGTTAAGTTTAAAAAGAGAAATCTTAATTTTATTCTACCCACTCTACTTGTCCTAGAACTTTTTTCTAGTTTCACATTTACCATTGAAAAAATAGTGTTAAATAAAATAAAAATGTTGACAAAAAGTGATGATTTGATGCCCAATCATTAAAAATGAAACGGGGTGAATTCCCAATCAGTGCAATTTTTGAAAAACCATTCCCAAATGGTGAAGGGGAGTCTGACATTGCGCAGAGTGGTCATATTTAAGCATTAATGGGACTGCTAGTACCGTAATTTTTTTTTAGATTAACGGTACAGCCAGTACCGTTAATCTATTAGTTATTTATAATTACGAAATTAAATACATCCCTTTGTTAGATATTGGCATTAAATTTGAACAATAATAAAATTTTTATTAATTTGATGCACTACTACTGAAATAAAAAGCATACAAATAAAAGTTGTCGTACATATATAAAAATCTCACATTGAAATTTATAATTTAACTAAGTTCCCCGACGATGTCTTCGTGCTCGCATATCCATATTATTTGTGAAACGAGTACTCACTGGCCGACCGGCCTGTGACTTTTGCCCTGTAAATGGATGGACTAATTCATAACCAAGGGTAGGCCATTCAATTTCGTTTTGTAGTGACATAACACTTCCAGAATATGCATCAAGATAATTCTGAAGTGAAAAAACTCGTGGGATGAGATCATCAACAGTAATGTTGCAATAACGACATACGGCATAGACATGCACACATGGCATGTGCAATGTGGCCCATTTCCCGCAAGTGCACAATTTTTGGCCCAGATGCACGACAATCTCATCTAATCTACCGGTAGCTCCAGCGTTACCCTCAACAACGACCCGATAAATCCCTTGTTGCGGATGATGTGGGATAACATGGCAATGTAAACGATGGTCTTCCATGCGTCTCACCTCGTTCCAAATATANATAAAGCAATGAGAATGGATGTATATTAAAAGGAAGTAATCTAGCAAGTGAACAACAAAAGTAGAGTGAACGATTCTAAAGAGGATATTGAGAAGCTTGGATTAAACAGATAAAGAAAAACAAATTGATAAACCTGAATTGAAGCCGGAGAAATCGAAATCCCCAGGTCGCCGCCTGATTCCCGTATGGCGTCACTCAAGTCCGATTCGTGGTTAGCCGATCGACGATGAAGACCCAGCATTGGAAACCGTCCGTCCTGGCTCTGTGTCCCAGTTGCCGATCGAAGAGCCGAGTTGTAGAGCCCAAGATTTTTTTCCCGTCCGTTCCGATCTCAAACCCTATCTCAAAACATTAAATATCTTTTAATATTGTAAATTTGCCCCCATTTATCTACCAAGTTGCTAATTAGTCCTTACTTTATAATTGGATTCTAAAATCAAACCATAATTACAAATCAATCCAAAAGAAGGGTTTGTTTTTTGCGAGAAACACGGAGGAACCATGTAGTGGTTTTTGTTTTTACTCTTTTTTACTGTACTCTTTTTAATACGGAGTATTTTATTTAGTTTTTTTAGTTTTCTTTTATTTTATGTTTTTTTAGTTTTTAATACATTGAATTTTTTTAACTTTCTTTTTTCACTGTAACTTTTTCAACACATTTATTTTAAATTGAAAAAATATACTCTAAATTACTCCCTCCATTTGGAAAAACCCTTCTCATTTGATTTGATGGCAAAAATAAGGAATTGTTAAATTATACGGAGTAGTTGATTTCCAATTTTTCCCTGATGTGATGGATAAAAGTAAAATGTGATTGATTGATTAGTAGAAAAAAAGTATGATGTGATAAGTAGGGTATGAAAAAGTAAGGGTAAAAGTGGTTTTTTAATAGAAAAGGGAAGTGTTGTCTTGGAAGTGGAAAAAATGAAAGAGAAAGTGTTTTTGAGAACGGAGGAAGTATAATATACTCCAAGGTACATTTTACTCCCTCTGTTCAAAAAAGATCTTCCTATTATACACATTACGAAATTTGGTCAACTTTATTTTCGATTCAATTTATTTGATTGTACAGTAGGTGTAAAATTGAAAATTAAAATTTATATAGTAAAAAATTAGATAAAGAATTCTACAAAACACGAGGTGACGTGACTATCTTATTTTATTAAATGATGAGTTAAAGGGTTGTCAAGTTGTTTTTCAAATAAACCGCTCATTTATTTTTTTTAGTTTCAATTAGTTTTCTAAAGTTTTTTAAAACCATTTTAATTTCATATTCTTAGTTTCAATTATTTTTTAGTTTTTTTAGTTTTAATTATTTTAGCAACAGAGTTAACGCAACTGATTATGCCGTTGCGAAAGTTGAATAACTTGTTGCAAACAGATTGCAACGGGAAAACCATTGCAAAAATCTGTTACAGAAAGCTCCCAGAAAAAGGCGCCAACCTCTCGCCATAATTGCAACAGACATTATTATTTTCCGTTGCAAAAATTACCGTTGTAAAATATTTCTGTTGCAAACAAAATTTCCGTTGCAATAGTGCAACAGAAAAATGTCTGTTGCAATATTTCTGTTGCAAATATGAGATTTTCTTGTAGTGATATTTTGGGAACTTAAATCCCGCTTGTAGCCATGTAAATCCGTTTGTACGCCTTTCTGCAAATAATTTTACTAATCGCTCGTACGTCGTCTTCACAATGGCATATACCGGAAGAGATCGGCATCCCTTAAGCACGTGATTGTAGCTTTCTGAAAGATTAGTGGTCAGGATTCCATATCGAGCCCCACCATCGGAACAGAGTGCCCAGTTCTCTAATGGCAAAGCCAACAACCAGTCAAATGCCTCCTCCTGTTGTGACTTAATTTGTTGCATTGTTCTATTGAATTCAGAGACATCTGGGGTACTAGCTGCATGATACATCAAGCCCTTCAGTTTTTATCTATTGAACTTCTTCTGAAAATTACTTCTCAAGTGGCGCAGGCAATATCTCTTGGTGACACGTTGTTCTAATAATTGGGGGATAGTATTGAAAGCTACATCAACTTGAAATGGCATTCGACTTAGCTAACCAACATTTCTTATACAACAAAGAAACTTGAAATAAGTCGTATATATCTTTAATGATGTACCTCACCTTGTAATCAGCATCAGCAGCAATTTTAGAGAATATAATTCCCGAGATGAGCTTGCTTGTAATAAGCTTATCGTCCTTCTCTTTCGAAAGGTCTGGTCTGCATAAATGTTGACTTCTATACTGTTTTACAGTCCAAACAGATGCAACCTCTGCAGCCTGGATGAGCCATGGACATTGTTCCGGATACGTGCACTTCGCCAGCCAATAATTGCGACGCTTTGAAGAATTCTGAAAGTGTCTATGCTCTGCAATATTGCGTAGTGCCACTGCAAATTGAAGGCTTTTGAAATCACCGTACCGATATCCAATCTGAATTTCAGGGATACGGAACGTTGGTTGTAGTGAGACTTCTTCAACGTGCCTAGGGATCGGAAACTCTGGAATTCCTTGTTCAGCAATGTTAATAGGCTCCTCTGTGTACACGTCCGGTGTGTACATAGAGACCCATCCAGATACTTCAGACTCATCTGAAGAGCTCTCTTGATCAGAATTAGCAACGTACGTCGGATCCTCAGAGTCATCTTCATCATTTATGTCTCGTGCTGTGTTAGACGGCCCCGCCTCATCAACTTGGTGTTGGTGATGAACTTGGTGGTGATGAGCTTGGTGGTTTTGCTCTTCCTCCATTTCTTCTTCCTCGTTAGCCAACACTTCAACTTGGTGTGCATCTAGGTAAACCTCAAGTTCATCATATTCCTTCGTTGCCTTTTGAATGAAACACCTCCATGTTCGTTCCTCGGAAATGGGGAAAGGGCGTGAAGCAGCATAAACTCCATCTTTGTATTTGGGATATTTTCCCCAAATGTTTTTGATGGAATTGAGATTATCTTCACCAATAGCATCAAGGAGTTCATTGAAGACCTCTTCGAATGAGATATCAAGATCAAAAACAAAGGCCTTGTTTGAATGCAATGAGTACTCCACCTCATTGTTCTTGATCATTATCTCACCGTTCCAATGGGCTAGCAAGACAAAACTACCATCAGAGGCCATTTTTTGGTAAGAGGTTGTGAGAGAAGTGAGTAGATATGTGAGAGTAAAGTTCGGTGGAGAGATTGTGAGAGTTAAGCAAGAAATATATAGATGGGATATTTTTTAGTTGGGTGGATTGAATGGTGTAGGATTGTTTGTAGTGTATTGTGAGATATTTTTTAAGTTGAGTGGATTGTATAGTGCAGGATTGTTTGTAGTGTAATGTGAGATTTTTTTTAGTTGGGTGAATTGAATGGTGTAGGATTGTTTGTAGTGTAATGTGAGATATTTTTTTGTTGGGTAAATTGTATGGTGCAGGATTATTTGTAGTGTAATGTGAGTTTTTTTTAGTTGGGTGGATTGAATGGTGTAGGATTGTTTATAGAGTATTGTGAAATATTTTTTTAGTTGGGTGAATTGTATGGTGCAGGATTTTTTGTAGTGTAATGTGAGATTTTTTTAGTTGGGTGAATTGAATGGTGTAGGATTGTTTGTAGTGTAATGTGAGATTATTTTTAGTTGGGTGAATTGAATGGTGTAAGCTTGTTTGTAGTGTAATGTAGACATTTTTTTAGTTGGGTGAATTGAATGGTGTTATATTGAAAATTATACAAATTAATATCTACCCAAATTTAATACAATAATAAAGATGTTATCATCCAAACTAATAGAAGAATAAAAAGTTTTTATCATCCAAATTAATACAATAATAAAAAAAATTAAAGTATGATAAATGGATGGTCATCTAAGAAGTACTCCGTACAATAAATGGACGGGCCGTTTAAGAAGAAGGTGCGCCGCTGCTGGTACCGAATTGAGGGGAAGGGGTGGTTTTGGATAGAAAATTATTTTTTTTGGATTAACGGTACAGGCAGTACCGTTAATTGATTTAATTTTTTTTTTAACTTTACGGTACAAGCAGTACCGTTAAAATCTTTTTCCACCTGACATCACTGAACGGGAATGCTTTTTCCCTATCGTCACTGAACGGGAATTAATTCAATGAAACGATACCTTTTTCTACATTAAAAAAATAGTGTTAAATAAAATAAAGAGTGTTGACAAAAAGTGATGATTTGATGCTCAATCATAAAAAATGAAAGGATAACTTCTTTTTTTTACTAATGAAAGAATAAATTTTACATTTAAAGTAAATATCTATGCCATAATAAGAAATGAGTAGAATTTACTCACTTTATCAGGTCATTTCGGATTAGATCCTCTTTGAATTTGATTAACAAGATATTTATCTGAAACTCTTTGGATAGAATCTCTTTTAAAAAATGAATTGGATCAATTTTTGTTAAATCTAGTATCGCGGATGGTGGATTAGGTCAAGAGATCGTCAAAATATGATGTCCATAGACGATAATATGAGTAACGAATACCTTGGACTAGGGAGTATTGGGCTAAAAAAAGTGCTTCCGAGCCCAAGTGTACGGGCCTAAATTTTCAAGGGTAATAATACTAATGTTTGTCCGTCAAAATATGATCGTCAAAATTCTCCGTAAAAAATGAATCTTTATACAAATTTTATGAAAAAATTAATATTACCTCCATTACTGGATAATTGTTCAATTTTGATTTTTTATAATCAAAATTGATGATCTTTGATCACTGATTTTTAGATTTGTTTTTTATACATCTATCTATGAGTATTTGTTTACTATTAAATTTTTTTTAGCCAAATTTGATGTTTCTATCACTAATTAAATAAGATTAATATTTGATATTGATCCAAAAATAATACTCCCTTTGTCCCAATTTAAATCACCTGCTCACCTGCTTCAATTTCCGATGTTTGCCTGAAGTTATTTTCAAATTATTTTATATGAAAAATGATTCAGAAATAAAAAATAAAAATTATATTTAAAAATTACATCAAAAAATTTACTGTACAAAATTAGTGATGACATGAATATATTATTTTATCAAATGACTAACGAAATTAAGAAAAACATAAATAAAATTTGACCCTATAAATAGTAAACATGCAATTTAATTTGAGACAAAGAAAATATTATTAGATCTGTTTTGTTCTACATCTGTAACTAGATATTTGCCTAATTTAACTTTTTATAGTCAACTATTTCCAATTATTGACTTATAATTAAATAAAATAAATATTGTATATTCATTAGACAAAATATTTTTGAAGCATCTTATAAAATAAATTGAATAAAAATGTGTATCAATATGTAATGGAATATCACTTTTATTCAATTTGTGGACAAAATTTGCCCATTTATAACCAAAAATTCAAAAATCGACAAAAATTCATGTACGGAGGTAGTATAATTTTTTAAAACATTGTTTTATACATAGAAAAAAAGTACCTTACAAATTTATCTTAATTTTAGGTCAACGATTTAAAATAATTTATAATAAAAAATCAACACTTGACAAATATTTAGCGGCGGTGTAGCATTTAAGTTTTAAATTTGAACGAGTCTACCAAAATTTAAACTGCCCTGTTGAGAAAGCTGAAGGAACAATAATTTCATAATTTTGACAAAGTCACGCCTAATATTCTACCATGGAAAACCATGAAACAAACAAGGCCTACGATTGATGGAGACTTTTTTGTCACACTTCATTAGCCACTATCCATGGGTCAATATTCAGACAATTATTATTGTCGGGTGGTGTTGACATCTTTGTGTATCTTTGTGTGGTTGTGAAGAAGTAAACATAAGACTAGCAAACCTCTTAATGTAGTTAATGTTTATGGTCATGTTTGATATTTCTTCAAATTAGGACTATGATGAGCAAAACTGAAAGTGATACATAAAGTGACATAAAATAGAAATGTTGCAAAATGAGTATCCTTGATTCTTCTCTTAAACTTTTCTTATTGCTTCTAATCTAATTCGATTGAGTTTTAATATGACTCAGTTAAGTTCTAACCTGATCTAATTTGATCTGATTTTTAGCTATACTTAAAGTTATTTACTCTTCTTCTAATAAAAATAAATAATTAGTAAAAAAAATTTGAAGAGAACAAACTCTAATACTCCATACTATGATAATAATAACAGACGTGAACCACACATTGGTATAGTGCCAAGACTTGAATACATTTTGCAGCCTAAGGGTTGCCCTGCCCAACATATAAGTACCATATGCAGTTTTAGAATTGCTTCATATATATCTCTTTCACTCTTGAGAGAATTAAAACCATTACCTAAGCTATATAACTCACAAAAAAGAGGGGGAAAGTTTACTGACACAGTGAAGTTATGTGAAGATAAAAGCTCCCAATTATGCAAAAGACATTAGGAGTTTTTGGCCTCATGAACTGGAAGGTATACCCCCTCTGCTGCCAGCCATATGTTATCGGGTTTCTTCTCTTTTACGCCACAAACCTGCACACAAAAAACATCATGTACAACAACCTTATACCACAAAGTACGTAAGTACGAAATCTCTGTGGGTGTGTGGGGGGAGGGGGGGGATTGGGTGAATACGAGGGAAATGGAGAATTTCTCTTGTTTGGTGAAAAGAAAGATGAAAATGGTCGTTATTGCTTACCTCTTGCTGTCCTCCGGCTATACGAGTGTACTTCTTGTTGTGGCTGTGTAAATACCCTCCAGTATCCACATGAAGAAGCCTGACCTTCTGATCTTGCCTCCATGTTTTCCCACTTCCCTCTATTTCAAGTCTTTAAAAAGAAACAAAAAATATATTAGAGACCAGCCTTTAGATATAAAGGAGCAATAGTAAAAAGATGGATAGTCCACATACCTCCAGAAGTCCCCTGTATCAGACACATTGTCATCCCCATAGCAGCTCACCTGCATATCGTCTCTTAATAAGTGTCGGGTTAAAAGCATTTAGGCTATATTAGGAACACACAGAAAAAGGTAGGGAATGGGGGAAAAAATGTTAAGGGAAGTTTTTTCCAAGTCGATTTACATTTACGCTGTGTTTGGTTCATGGAATTTGAACCGAAAGGAAAATCACTTTCTTTCTTCTTAGTCCATTTTCTTTTCCTTCCCACTTGTTTTTTGTTTTCCCTCTGACCAAACAAGAAAAGTTATTCTCTCTCATTTTCTTTTCTTTTCTCTTTCAAATTCCTTGAAGGTTGAACCAAACATAGTGTTAAAATTACAAAGAAAAACCAAATTTGAATACTTCCTAAAATTCTCATAGGTTCAGATTTTTTAATCTTTATATAATAGAAATAAATTATAATAGAAATAAATAAATAAAATTTGTTCTTTGAACAAAGAGTCCGGTTCTTTTGATACCAAGGGCCGGTGGCAGAAAAGCACGCTAATTCATTTGACGCCCTACGATGCTCCGTTCGACCCAAAGTGATTTCTACCCCTTCAACTTCGTAGCTCGCCACCGCCCCCCCCCCAACCCACTGTATAGTATGTGACTAAAATAATGGGAAGGATAAAAAATGTAAAAAAATTTAGACAAAATAGTGGGACGAAAAAAGTATATGATAGTGAAGTGTTACCCATATGGGGCTAGGGGTTAGGTGGGGCAGGGTCCCCATTTGGTGACAACCCACTGTCAAATATAGAGTATACGATAGTGAAAAGTTACCCACATAGGGAGGGGCTATGGGGGGTTAAGGGGTAGGAACAACTTCGGGGCCAAACAAAGCACTGCATGGCCTTCAAGTAGATCGGGTGTCATATTTTGACACTCATTCTTGGTGCCATAAGAACCTTGGTGTTTAACAAATGCGAATTATATATAAATGATTATCTATTGAGTTAGAACCAAATTTCTCGTGTATTCGTCTCCATGTTTTGTTTCCCTACCATTTTTCAGGTTCCAAACTAAAGGGGGAAAGAGCTCTCAATGTAATTGAAGACACCTTAGAGGTGATTCAATATACTCCGTATTATAGACCCAGGACCTTACAAGGAAAAAATACCACTACTACAGCATTGGCCCTGGACACCTTAAGAGAAGGGAGAACCAAAAAAAATATTGAGACTAAAAATTAGAAATCAATTTTCCCTTATATAGAACTAAATGGTGACCGATTATGATACTAAGTCATGATCCAGGGGTGGACTGTGCAAGCTTAAAGCCTAAACTTGATGAGAAGTCTCATTCAATGAATGAATATTAAGTAGAGTGCAAGTTAGTGCATTACAGAATGAAATAACATTGCATACACATTCAGCCAAAGGGAATGCAACTTACACAAAAACAGTTTCCATTATTAACTCATGAAGACATAATGAATCCAATGAACTTTTACTATTCCACTAACCTCCAAATTGCCAGATATCGGAGATGCATGCAAGTGGCTATGCAACCATCTCCTGGTCCTCATATGTTGCAGTCGAATAATAGATCCTGTTTTAATAGCATCTCCTTGCTTTGCCGAAGACTCTGGTTCAGGCTTAACGATCTGAAGAAGGCCCAAATTCATAAACAGCTTGAAATAATGGTTGCATGCTACGGCCAATTTAGGCCGCATTAATATTTAATCACAGTTTGTCAAACAGAATTATTCAGAATATTAACTTTTGACTTAAGTAGCTGAAATAGATTTTGCCATTTGAGAAAATTGGGCAGATTCAGCCATTTCAGCCAAATAAACCTCACTAGATGGAACTAAGAGAAGAACAAAATGAGCCCTACCCAATAGCTGTTGGCGTCATCTACACTTGGAAAACCGGTGACGGACTGCTGCCCACTGCCAGAACCATACGGCACATCATGTGAATGCAACCGGACCTTTGTCTTCTCGTGCATCAACTTGATTGTTGATCCATAAGTAATCTACAAAACAATCACATAGCAGCCTACTTAGGAATGAAAATTACCAAAACTTTCTTCAAAATACATTGCTAGTGAAGCAGTAACCATTGCTTCCTCGGTTTTTTCAGGTCTAATGCATATCAATGAGTTCAGAACTTTGGATTTTGAAGTGATATCAGGTAAGGCACCACCTAAATTATCATGAAATTCACATCTAATCCTAAATTCGACCAAATTATTGAAAAAAGCAGATGCTTAACGAAACAATGAATTGATTCTTCCAACATTACAATTTACTAGTGCAACTTTTTGACTAGAAATCGGTAAAATTACTTCACAATTTCGCAATTCAATGATCAAAACTTTGTAAATTACCTGGACTCCTTCAGATGCGGCGGAGGCAGGGCTGGTGGAATAATCGGAATCTAGGGTGAGGAGGAGAGCAATGGCGAATGCGAAGCAAGAGAGCGCCATAACAAACAGGAACACTATGAACCAGGTCCTTTGCCAAAACGGGAGGTCCAAATCGGGGGTTCCGGATCCAGAATACACTGGCCTGCTGGGGCCGGAAACAGTCGGATTCCAGACAGACGACGGCGAATCGGACTTCCTACGGATGAGATTCTGACGTTGCCTTTGTTGTTGGCCGGAAGAAGCCACGGTGATAGCTCTTAGAAAGGCGCCGGACGGAGCTCCGACGGAGATTCGATCGAAAGACCTTTGATTCCGACTTCCCGGCGACACTCTTTCTGTTTTCTATGGTTTCGTTTCCAGAATCCGGGTATTACTGCCATGATTAGTGAATACCACGTCGACGGAAAACATAGGGCCAACCAGATTAATACACGTGGCTTAACGATGACGTGAACAATTCTAGTTGGCTGGCTTTTTAGAACTCTCTCTAAAACAAGTGTCACATTTCACTATTCAATAATCACAATTTTTTTATTTGTATATTTTTATCGATTATTAAATAAAAGATTTTTTTATTACTTCTTATTTTGAAAAATTCTTGTTATTATTTTTAGATATGTAAATTTTATTACTTATTTCTACACCAATCTTTAGAGAAAATGGATCAAAAAAATTAGAAATTCCATTTCGTTTTAGCATTTGACCACATACAAGTGTCAAGACTAAAATTCGCATAATACCAAGTGTTAACATGTAATTAAAAGAGTTCATAAACATTGATAGTACTATTTAGTGTAATAAAATGTGCCTTTTCGAGAGCCCATTACTTAGAAATTACAAGAATAAATTCGCTTAACTTAAAGCAATTTTAGGATGAGTGACTTACTATTTTTTTTTGAGCGAGCACAAATGAAGACAAAATGCACTGGAACATCAAACCCATCCGGTCAGAATGGAGGCGAAGGTGTTACATCTCATACTCTTGAAATTTGAATGGTGTCTGTAGAAAATATTATTAGATCTAAACTTGAATCAATTGATTACACATAGATCCGCTATTTATAATAGCTACAAGACCACGACCTAATTACGAGCCCAACAACAATGAGCCCGTTAACGACAAACCCTACTACATTTCTTAACACTCCCCCTCAAGTTGAGCATGAGGTTAACGAATGCACAACTTGGACAATTAAAAAAACTAGGACTAAAAAAAACTTGATAAACAATTTGAACTTGATCTGCTGTGACAACTACGAACGAAGGTGATCGGCCCTGCAAACGAACAATAAATTTTGATGACGAATGACTCCCACGCGGTGACACGAGGACGACTAACAAGCATCCCAAACTTGGAGGCTGTGTTGTCGGACTGAGGCGCGACTATGCAACCAACCTCACAAACAGATATGTTGAACTGAGGCGCGACTAAGCGACCAACCTCACAAACAAACATGCCGAACATACAGCTGGTTGCACTTGAATGTACCGAATAGCAACCAAAAACAATGTCATCAAAACGTCGATCAAAAGGTGCATGAAATGCTGATCATGAAAACCTTCTTCCTAGAAGAAAGCAAACCAAACCAATCCACTCATGCTAGCGGAACATACTCATACTGCTGAATGGAAGGGCACTTCTCAAACAAAAGAAACAATACCAACAAATGAGTTTGCTGCTTAAAAACAACAATTGATGAAATCATTAGTTGCTGCTGCCTATTGGTGCATACGGAGTATCTGTAATAACCTTGACCACTTTTAACTCGGCGGCCAAAACTAGGACGTGAATGACATGGATAATAACCCTGGGCGTCGAAAATATGCAAAGAGTAGGGTAGCGTAGATCTGGACAATTACTCCTCGATCGGAAGAACAGATCGAAACCTTTATCGTCAAGAACAGAAGTACAATGATTGGTAATGGAAATCGATGGTGATGCCGCCGTCGCCGGAAAAGGCACGGCGACGGCGGCAGAAGCGAAAGCTACAGACTAGAGCAAACTTAGGGTTTTAGTTTTCTCAAGATTTGGCTCTGATACCATGTAGAAAATATTATTAGATCTAAACTTGAATCAATTGATTACACATAGATCCGCTATTTATAATAGCTACAAGACCATGACCTAATTACGAGCCCAACAACAATGAGCCCGTTAACGACAAACCCTACTACATTCCTTAACAGTGTCAACCTATAATTATAATTATAATTATAATTATAATTATAATTATAATGCAAAATCTAAAAGAATTGTGTATCTGAGCTTCTTTTTTGCATATAGTAAGATTTTGGAAACCATATAATAAAAACATTACCAATCAATCTGTTTTTGTCTAATACAGAAATTGAGAACCAATAATCAAATGCATAACCAAACATCTTCATTAATACTAAAACTTAGCGGGTATGTTACATTATTCACTCAATAATAAACTTGATCATAAATTTGGGTATCAGCCTGACGTGTAAGGTTTACCTTATAAATGAAGGCATGAGTTTGAATTTACTATCTAGATTGGCCCGCCCCATATTTGAATTACTGGTGCGCGTCCGTTGGTGGAGATGAATAGGAATGGGTAGCGTTATTGGAATTTAATTTGAATGTGGTCCGCCATGATCCTGCAAATTTATTGAGTATAAGTTATATTGAATTTAATACTACACTATGGTCATGTTTGGATGTTGACTATCAGCTTTTGACTATGTGTGTACGGGAGTTGGAGTAAGGACATTGATTTTCTATTTTTCTTCTTGTGAGCCGTTTTCTATTTCTCTATTGTTTTTCATGATCCAGGACTCTATAAAACTTATAAATAAATGTAAGATTTCATTTTTCTTGATCATGCACACAATTATTTTTTGACAGAGAGAGAGGGGGGGATAAAAGACGGCGGTCATCAGACACGCTCATAATTTTTTTTAGCAAAAAAAGAGAAGTATAAGGAACGTAACGACGGGTATTAGGCACACTCGTTAGGAATGGCGACGGTGTTAAGCACACACACTATTTGATTTGGAGAACAACTTTCATACTATGATACAATTTGATAACAATGATCGATCTTATTGAATAATACAAGTTTCATCCCTGTATATAGGCAATATATAGAGAATCATAATTAAACTTCATCCGTTCTTGAATATTTGTCCACTTTTAACTTTTTTTTATCAAAATTTGTAAACTTTGACCAGAAATTAAATAAAAATAATAATAGATATTGATACAAAATTAGTTTTATTTGATTTATTATATCATTCATTTTCAAAATATTATTTTATCTACTTATAATTAATATACGCTATATATTTTATCTAATTATATGTAAAATTTAAATATAGTTGATCAGAAAAAGTAAAAAACGAACGAATATTCAGGGACGGAAGTAGTAATACTCCAAGATAATACTTTTTCTTATTATCTCTAATAACTTCTAACCACCTATTCTCGTTTTCTTTAATCACTATATGTGGTCAAAACCTTTTTTTTGGATTGAAGCATAGTTTTCAGAACCGGACTGACGATCGAACCGGTCGAGATACTGGTTCACTGGTCGAACCAGTAGTTCAAACATTTTTGAAAATTTAATATATATATATATATATATATATATATATATATATATATATATAATACTTCTTCTATTGAAAATAAGTTATTTATGATACATGGCTAAAGTTATAATCAATTTAATTAATTTAAATAGTAGCATTAAAATGATAAAATTATATACTATGAAATATTTAAAAAACTATATTCAAAATTTTATAAAATAGAAGGAGATTTTATTTTTTAAATAATTTGCTCAATATTTTCAAAACTTATTTAAATTAAATATTTCATTGATATGTACTGTGTATTTGTAGAATACGGAGTACTTAAAAGTTTAAATCATAGTTATAATATTATATTTTTTAATGTTTTATGAAAAGAAATCATTTTAGAAATTTTTTTAATCAGGAAATATATTACTACTACCTCCGTCCCAGAATATTTGTCCACTTTCATTTTTACACACCATTCAATACACTTCTTTAATCCATTTTATCTTGTAATTTGTATATTAAAAAATTATAGAAATTATATATTAATAATCTATATGTTAATACAAATCAAACAAGATCATACATGACTATATTTAGGCTTACACATTGAGAGAATTTGATGAGTCAAAGTGTTTAGATGAACAGTTCTAAAAATCAAAACTGGACGAATATTCCGGGACGGAGGGAGTATATTTTACCACGTTATGCAAGAGGACTTTAGCTCAGGTGGTCGATAGGTGAACATAGAGATCAAGAGATCTACTCCCTCCGTTTGGAAAAACCCTTCCCATTTGATTTGGGGGCAAAAATAAGGAAGTGTTAAATTATAGTTGATTTCCAATTTTGCCCCTGATGTGATGAGTAAAAGTAAGATGTGATGGATAGATTATTAGAGAAAAAGTATGATGTGATAGGTAGGGTATGAAAAAGTAAGGGTAAAAGTGGTTTTTTAATAGAAAGGGGAAGTGTTTTGTTGGAAGTAAAAAAAATGAAAGAGGAAGTATTTTTGAGAACGGAGGGAGTAGTATTCAAATCCTTACACATTAGCATTTTGGAAAATTTTTGCAAAAAAAAAAACTGATTTCCGGTTCTACTGGACGATTTCTGCCGGTTTTCACCGGTTCGTAGCTGAGGCGGTCTTGTGGCCCTGACCGGACCGATTTGGTCACCGGTTTCCTGTCCGAACCGGCTGGTCTGGTACGGTTTTTAAAATTATGAGTTGAAGTAGTAAGAGATTAGGATTAAACTATTTATACCCTAAGATTTGTACCCCAATTTGTATACTGCAGGTACGCACTTTCATTTTGTGCCGGGGTAATGCTAGGGTGATAGTTTACATAGACACAAAATATTAGTATAAATTTTTATTAATGCATTAACATTTTGTGTTAGTGTAAACCATCAAAATGCTAGTTTATAGTCTTGATGTAATTTTGAGGTATAATTTTTTGTGTAAGTGTAGTCTAAAAAGATTATGTAAATTTTACCTAAATGTAAAAATGTGGGGGGTAGGTGAGTTGGTAAAAGAGCAAAGTCAGCATAAATAATAATAGCAGCCATATGTCATGATTGTCATCCTCCCACCTTCCTTCCATCCATCATTATATATCCCACTCTTTCCACTCTATATTAACTACCATTATTCCATTATACTCAACCACACTAATTAATCATTTAATTACTTCGCCGCCATGCCGTCGGTTACCGGCCAAGTCGTCTGCGTCACCGGCGCCGGTGGCTTCATCGCCTCATGGCTCGTCAAACTCCTCCTCGAGAAAGGTTACACCGTTAGAGGAACCGTCAGAAACCCAGGTATGGTAGTGTCCAGCCATCATTCTCATTTAATTTGTACTACCTTCGTCCCACTGTCTTTGTCCACATTTGACTTTTGGAACTGTTCATCTAAGCAATTTGACTCATCAAATTCTCTGAATGTGTAAGCCTAAAAATAGTCATGCGTGATCTTGTTTGGTTCGTCTTAACATGATTATTAATATATAATTTCTACTTCCTCCGTTCTCAAAAACACTTCCTCTTTCATTTTTTCCACTTCCAACAAAACACTTCCCCATTCTATTAAAAAACCACTTTTACCATTATTTTTTCATACCCTACTTATCACATCATACTTTTTATCTAATAATCTATCCATCACATCTTACTTTTACCCATCACATCAGGGGCAAAATTGGAAATCAACTATAATTTAACACTTCCTTATTTTTGACCCCAAATCAAATGGGAAGGGTTTTTCCAAACGGAGGGAGTATAATTTTTTAATATACAAATTATAAGATAAAATGGATTAAAGAAGTGCATTGGATGGTGTGCCAAAAGGTAAGTGGACAAAGACAGTGGGACGGAGGGAGTATATATCAATAATATAATTATTCAATAAATTATAAAAATTCAATTAGACTAATTTTTTTTTTATTTTTTTTTTCGGATTTGAATTGAAGAGGACGAGAAGAATTCACATCTGAGGGAGTTGGAGGGCGCAAAGGAGAGGCTAAGTTTGATGAGAGCGGAGCTTTTAGATTTTCAGAGTCTACGTGAAGCGATCAACGGCTGCGATGGCGTTTTCCACACCGCTTCACCTGTCACCGATGATCCTGTACGTTCATTTTTTTCCAATTCCCCCCCATATTGCTTCTTTCTTATTTCTAATTATAATTCCGTACTAGCCCCTGCATGCATTATATCATCATCATGACATCATTATTTGTATTTTTAACTAAAACAATTTTTTTTACTTTTATACTCCGATTGCACTAATCTCGTTACACGATAGTTAACGTTATAGTTAATTTAAAAATAACAAAATCATAATATCACGGTTTTATATTTTTTTCAAAATGTCACACCCACACGCGTGTATATATTTCTAGTACGAGTATTCAAAAATTTTGGGCCCTGGATAAAATGGGCCCGGGCCGGAAGTGCTTTTGGCACTCCTTGGACGGACCCTGGATAAATGTGTTGATAGTGTGAAAGATATCTACTATTATTATTAGGGTCGGTTCATAAAATTAACGGTTCTAATCCTTTCGGTAAATCTTCACCCTGCCCCGACCCGAACACATCCCTTCACCCCTTTTAATTGCACCACCAAGTTAATTTTGATTTTGGAGTCAAAATTTGACTCTAAAGTCAAAATTAACTTGGGGGTGCAATTGAAGGAGGTGAGGGGTGTGTTCGGGTCTGGGGAGGGGTGTGGGGTTTACCGGGAGGATTAGGGGTAGAAACTGTTAATTTTACGAACGGGGAACCGGAGCATCCTGAGTCATCCCATGACATTGATTCCTAATGTCATGGAAACCAAGAAGCTACTCCCTCCGTCCCAAATTATTTGCCACATTTACTTTTTCAACAGTCGCGAGAATTTTTGTTTATTTCTACGTTTTCATTGGTTTTTTGATAAAATAAAATATTCTTGACACCTCTTATTTCGAAGAACTTTTCATGTAGTTTTTTGATATGTAATTTTTATTTTTTATTTCTTTACCAATATGTAAATAAAATGAATTGAAAAAATTTGATATTTTGTCTCGGTAATAGAAATGTGACAAATAATTTGGGACGGAGGGAGTATTATGAATAATGCTAGAGTCACAAACAAACAGTTCACAAAATTCACAAACTTGCCTTTTTAACACTTTCCTAGAAATAAGATGCACTCAAATAATAAAAGATATTTTAATTTAAAATCTACAAAAGGCAAGTTTGTGAAGTTTGTGAACTACGGAGTATATGTTTGTGACTCTAGCATTTTCCGGCTATTATTATTGTTGTTGTTGTTCTTATTATTATTAATTATTTTTTGAAAAAATATTTTTAATTATTAGTCTTTTTTTTCGTGGGGGTGGTTGGTGAATGTCACTCAATCACTTTGATGAACCGCAACGTATAGCTAACGATATATATTGAGAAATGATAGACTTATAGATAAAGATTCACAAAATTCATAAATTTACCTTAAAAGATACTCCGTATTAATTTTCTCCCTATTTTATTATTTTCAAAATACTATCCAACAATAATTTTTAATGTTTACAAAGTACGTCTATATTATTAAAAAAATCATTTAAAATATTATAGCTAATAACAAAATGTTCTCAAAACTCCAAACCAAATGGTATGGGCGGTTTGGTTAGATGGATAACGCAAGTTTGTTCCATATTTGGCAATAAGTTTCACCGTATGCTAGCTAATCTTAAATTGGATGTGTTTTAATTTCAATGCTTTCTCCGTTTTTCAAAAATAGTTTCACTCCAATTTTTATATATGCATCTCATAAAAATATTTCTATTGTATTTAAAATGTCTAAAACACTCAAAAATAACTCTTACCCACGGTAAAAGAAAATTTGGAATCCAAAATAATTCCTACCCGCATTAAAGGAGCAATTGGCATACTTTAATTAGATATATAGGCCTTGTTTGGATTAACGTTTTCGATTAGTGTTCACGTTAACTTGAAGTCTTACAATTTTCATTAGAGAGACTTTTTTGTCATTTAGAAATGGAATGGAATGCGTCTTGACTAAGTCAATGTGATTGAATGATAATTTGAATTTTGAAGGAGCAAATGGTGGAGCCGGCGGTGATAGGGACGAAGAACGTGATAACGGCGGCGGCAGAGGCTGGGGTGCGGCGCGTGGTCTTCACCTCCTCAATCGGTGCGGTGTACATGGACCCAAACCGACACCCCGATAAGGTCGTGGACGAAACATGTTGGAGTGACCTTGACTTTTGCAAGAACACCAAGGTTCTTACTATTCCCTTCAATCATTTCTTTTTTCTTTGATTTTTTTATGGTTTATTTTATACTCCCTCCGTCCCAAAATATAACCAATATTACGCTAAATGAAGTAATTTTTTGAATTTTTTCAATCCATATTATTTTAAAGAATGGTCTACAAATAAAAAATAAAACTTACATATTTAAAAACTACGTCAAAAGTTCTACAAAATAAGTGGTGACAAGAATATTTTATTCTATCAAATAATCAATGAAAATGCAAAAATAAATAAAAGTTCCCGTGATTTTTAAATAGTGGAGTGTTGCTTATATTTTGCGACGGAGGGAGTATATTTTAGTGTAATTGAAAAACTGTTTGATCAATGATATCATAATAATCATCTAAAAAGTTTGGTGATGCAAAATACATGCTTCGTTGAGTTTGTTATGATAAAAGTCCCGTTTTAACGGGGGTTCCAAGGCGGTAGTGCCTCTTAGCAGAGGTTCGGGGAAAGAGCTCCCGACCAGGGTTCAAGGAGCGGCAACCCCTACGAGGTCCAAGGGGCAGAGCCCCTGACTGGGTTGATGCGCGTTACTTCAAATTCGCGAGGAGACGCGCATTTTAGATGGGAGACATGACCGCACCCTTTCTTCCCTTCCGTGGCTCTATAAATTTCGCCGATCCTTGGTCGAAAAAAAGAGAGTTCAAAAAATTTATATCAATCCATACTTGTTCTTGATAAATTTGAGTTTTATCTGATTGATTTTTGGATTGAACAACCAAAATAATTAATTTGAAAGTGCTACACGACTCTCAAATCAATCCGCGTTATCTTTTGTTTATTCCCAAGAGTTTAGAAATGTTTTTATATTGTATAGAATTGGTTTTAGTTTTTTTTTTAAATGTATAGAATTGGTATTGCTATGGGAAGATGGTGGCAGAGAAGACAGCATGGGAAGAGGCGAAAGAAAAGGGAGTGGACCTGGTTGTGATCAACCCGGTATTGGTATTGGGCCCATTGCTTCAGCCCACTATCAATGCAAGTGTGCTCCACGTCCTCAAGTACTTGACTGGCTCAGCTAAGACCTTTGCCAACTCAACCCAAGCTTATGTCGATGTCAAGGACGTTGCCCGGGCCCACATTCTCCTATACGAGACCCCCTCCGCCTCCGGCCGCCACCTCTGTGCTGAAAGCGTCCTCCACCGCGGGGACGTCGTCGAGATTCTCGCCAAGTTCTTCCCCGAATATCCCGTCCCCACCAAGTAAGTCAATTTTGTTTATAATCTTAAGTAGATGTGAGCAAGAATCATGATCGCGTTGTCTCGTTTTGAAATACCTGGTCATGTCCCTATAGTGTTCGATTTTGCTTGGGAAAACAAAATTTTGTCTCGTACCCGTCCCAAATTGATTAAAAATGGATCGAGATTGGGACAAATGAGATTTGTAGATTAAAATGTTACTCCGTAGTTTTTTATCCAAATTCATAAGATTTGTAGATTAAAATGTTATTTTTTCATGTTTGTATATGTTTTTATTCTACTTTTATTTGGGAATTTATTAAAATGTTTGTATAAAATTTTTAAAATAGTTTTTAGGATTAATATATTACAAATTTTTATGTTTAAATTTTATAAAAAAGTTTGAATCAGGGCATCCGGAACCCGTCTGAATTATCTCCATTCCAAAATTGGGATTGGGACCAAGTTAATAAATCTAAACCGTTCCGACCCGTGCCCAACCTAAACCTCAAGGGTCTGTTTGGCAAATATTCACCACATTGCTTTAGGGTTTTGAAACCTAAACTATAACAATAAAGTTAATTCTAATAAAAAAAACATTGTTAATAAAGTATTTGCTTATATAGTATTTTCAAGAGTTGGTAGTCCAAAAGGCAATAGAGTTTCTAAATTATTTGTCTTCTTGGGTTTATTTGAGTTAAATTGAATAAATTTCATCATTTTTTAAAGTAATACCATTTATTTTTTATTGAAATAAAAATTCAATTTCATGTTTGTACAAAGTAACATTTGTTTAAACTTTCATGTATAATAAATCTAATAAATTATTTTTGTAATAATATGCAATGTAGTTCTAATTCTCTGTCCCCAAAAAATTACTTAATTTTTTCTTTTTATGAAAGAAAAAGTGAAATTTTATTTTGAAACAAACAAGTAAAAAAAAGTAAAAACTTCTTTGAGAGATAGAGGGAATATTTAACTGAAGATCAAAATTCATACTCCCTCCGTCCTAAAACTTTCTTCACAGAGCACTATTCCAACTTCACGGGAATTTATATTTATTTGTGTTTTTTCATGGCCTATATGATAAAATAAAATATTCTTGACACCACTTGTTTTGTTGAACTTTTGATGTAGTTTTTAAATATGTATGTTTTATTTTTTATTTCTATACCAATATTTAAATAAAATAGATTGAAAAAACTTGGGATTTTTTTTCGTTTTGCGCAACGGGAAAAAAGTTTTAGGACGGAGGGAGTAATATTTGAATAAAAAAATCAAATTTAAGTTTTGAAAATGAATTAAATTCTTAATAAATATCCCTTGGTTTACAATTGTACCCCTTACCTACCACGCGCAATCATCACCCGTTTCGGTCCCCTGTCACAATTTTCTTGTTGTTCCACATTTTTCTTTTGAAAATCATAAATAGAGATCTAGAGAATATTTTATTTTTGACCCTAATTCTAACACTATGTTTTTTGTAAACTTTAGAAAATGGACACTATTCTGTACTTATTTATGAATGTGCCTGAAAAGAATAGTGTCCAAATTGGGGTAAGATTGGGATATTCAAATTTAATTCTACAAAAATAACATAAAATAATAATAATATTTGCATTCTAAATTTAATTCTACAAAACTAACATAAAATAATAATATTTGCATTCTAACTATTTAAAAGTAGATCAAACTTAAATCTATTTAAGATATGCTCGGCTCGTACTTATCAGTCTGATTTGATTTTTTTGATGAATCCCTTTTTAAGGACTTGTTCTCTTCACTTGATCTGATTTATTCTCATCGAATTGCAATAAATTCTGATTTGATTTAATCTGACATAATTTGTTCTTATTTAATCTGATTGAAGTTATATTTAAAGCTGTTTCTGATTTGATCTAATATAATTTCAATAAAAATAGATAATAAGTAAAAAAATTAGTTGAAGAGAACAAGACCTTTAATCATACCAATTTTTTTTAATCATACCAAATTTTTTTTATTTATTTTTTTAAAAATAAATGTGGTTGATATTTTTGATATGTGAAATTCAGGTGTTCAGATGAATCAAAGCCGAGGGTAAAACCGTACAAATTCTCTAACCAGAAGTTAAGGGATTTGGGGTTAGAGTTTACTCCGGTTAAGCAATGCCTCTATGAGACTGTGAAGAGCCTCCAAGAGAAAGGCCATCTTCCCATTGTGGCCCAAAATGATGACCCGGTCCGAATTGGTTCTTGACCCATGTGTTTCTTTCTCGGACTGATCCAAATTTGAAATTTGGGTCGACCCAATTAATACATTTCTTAGATGCAAAGATACAATAAGGGTATGTTTGGAATGACTTTTTCTATTAACGTTAACGTTTTGAATAAAAATTTATTCGTATAAATTTACTTTGAAACACTACATTTAAACGTTGTCGTCAAATAGTATTTTTTAAAACGATAACGCTAAACGTTGAAGTTGTTTCCAAACACACCCTTAGTATGTGTTGTTTTTTATGTAGAAAGAATTGGTGAAATTATACCATGTAAAGATGTGATGTTTATTCCTCATTGTTTGTTTTAATTTGTACACTCAAAAGAGATATTAATGTCAGCAATGCTCATATCTCATTTCTAAGTTATTTTAGACAATTCATTATTTCGTAATTTTTTATATTGAATATTAAGATTGAATAACCAATTACAGACATACGAAAAATAAAAAATTAATCAGTTAAATCCAAACAAAACAAAGAGAAAAATTATGTGATACTCCGAATGTAATGCATTAAATGTTTAATGTTTGAGTGTATGAAGGTTATCATTTTTGATCTATGACGTAATTTAGTTGGTCAAAAAGGGCAATGTATCTTTTAAACACCCTCCAACTAAATATTTTTATTAGTATTTAGTAAATTCAGAATTTAAATTTTTTTGAAAGTCTGGGAAAAAACAAAGAAGAGAAGACTAGGAATAAAATAAGCACACAATAACATGTCTTTTCGAGCATAATAGATGACTTATTTAGGCCCCGTTCCGTTTAACTTATTTTTTCTTATTTTTTCTTATTCTTATTAAAATAAGATCAGATCACATCAGATCAGACCGAATCAGATCAGATCAGATCCAATTTGATAGATCAGACCAGATCCAATCAGATCAGATCAGACCATATCAGATCCCATCAAGAATTATTATTATTATTATTATTATTATTATTACTATTATTATTATTATTGTTATTATTATTGTTGTGATTATTATTACTATTATTCTTAAAAATGAAAAAGAAGAAACTTTAGAAACAAGTTAAATAGAAAACTAAGAAAGTAATCCTTAATTATTAGACGCCGTAAAAATTATTTTTAAAATACATTGACAATGTCAATTTTATTCTACTTTTAAGATACATTTTTATTGCTACTTGTAATTTAAGTTTCTAAAATTTTGATCTTTTATAAGGATGAGATATTTTAGTAAAAAAACAATCTCTTCTATATTATGATTATCTATATTATGATCAGATCTAACTAGATCAGATCAGATCCAATCAGTCCAGATCAGATCAGAAATACAAAAAATCAGATCAGATCAGAAAAATAAGTTGAATGGAACGGAGCCTTAACTATTTTATCCATCCCACCATATTGAACCATTGGTAAAAAATGAAGCCCATATGGAAATGTTTCTGCAAGAAAAAAAGGCATGGGCACAGTGGCCATAAATGTGTGACACCACCATTGTCTTTTGTCTCAATTCCATTCTTAAGAACTACCCTATGATTCATATATCTTAAGTATAAAATCTATACAAGTATCAGCTACATTTTCTATTTTTTGACATGAGTCTATGATTCATAGGTGACTCGGACTCCCAGAGGGTGTGCAGAATGGGCAACCACATAGGGTCTCTAAAATTTTGGGGCCCAATATTTTTTAACTTAATCATTGATTTTGAAGCATAAGTATTCTAAAATAATAAAATAGGACCCAAAATGTAAATTTTAGACTGGGCCAATTTCATTTTTTTCATTTTTCGAGGTCGGCCCTGCTATGATAAAAGCTCAATTTACCTTTCTTTAAGTGACTGTCAAAGGAGTTGAACATAAGGAAACGATTCTCTGTGATTCATGTTTATATGAAATGAACTATGTGAACGAACAACACATTTGAAACGAATCGTTAAACTCTAGCCACTTCGTACCTATGTCTTCTAGTCTATAGTTTGTTCATGGAATGAAATAAAAATTAGCCTCCCCAACCAATGAAACGAATAACTTTATTGGCTTATTGGTTAGTCTGATGATTACCCTACGAAGTTGCTTGATCGGTGAGAAAGGTACGTAGTTGCTAGAAATTCATTTCACATAGTAAAACTCATTTCGTTGAACATAGTCTAACTCATTTGACCTTCCGGTACAACCAACTCTGTACCTCTTCGAGGAACGAAGTCTCTCGACCTACGGGGAGAGGGGAGTTGCTAGAGATTCGTTAGCTTAGAATTTCAATCGACAAATCCAACATAACCCTACAATCCTGTCTCAAAGGCTCGTTCTACCCCTTTTTTCGTAGCTACAAAGGAGTTCCGTGGGCAGCTTTCATCTTCCCCATTGTAGAGGTACGACCAACATACGAAGTTCATTTCACATAGTAAAACTCAATGGGAAGAGGTACAAAGTTGCTCTAACCGGTTCTAAAAGATCCTCAGGGATGAGATTCATCCTTTTTAGAATAATGAATTTTCTATTTAATACCCTCCTTGTCCACAAAGTCACTTCTCATTTTGAACATACGAAATTTCATCTTTTTTCAAAATTATTTTATTTTCAAAATAGTATATAAATAATACTCCAACAAAAGTTTTATTTTCAAAATAGTATATAAATAATACTCCAATAAAATAAAATTATTTTATTTTCAAAATAGTATATAAATTACATATTTGAAAAACACATCAAAAGTTTTATAAAACAAGATGTGCGAATAATATTTTATTTTATCAAATTATAAATTAAAACAAACAAACCAACAAAAAACTATCGAGCGTCCAAAACATTAATCGGGAATTTAATTTATGGACGGAGGGAATAAAATCAATAAATACTACTCCCTATTTCACTCTCATATCTCACTCTTTTGGCTGATCATATTTTTTTTGGTGTTATGTGTTAGGTAATTAGCGTGAGTTACTACTAGCTTATTTATTCCGGAGTATTACGCAATAAGGATGAGTATGTCACTAAATCCACACATATTACCTAACAGCACATTTTCTAACCACATAATAAGATGGAGACATATATGGCTCCCTCCCCATCACTCCACCTCGGACGAGGACACCGCCTTCTCGGGCAGCTGCATGCTCACGATGTCCTCCCGGGGCAGCCTCGGCTCGCCGCAATTTCGCGAGCCTTCGAGGAGGTTGTGGGTCCGTTCCCTGTTCTTCCTCGTGACCAGGTACCCGATGCTGCCCAAGTAGACCAACAACGCCCCGAAGCCCAGCGCTCCGCAGAACACCTTGCCCGCGAGCTCGAGCTGGCTCTTCTTCTTGAGGGTGGTCACTAGTTTCTCCGCGAGGTAGTATATGTTGATTCCCATGATCAACGACCCGATCACCCAAGTGACCGCGGATATCTGCATGGATGAAATGACCGTTGGACCCGATTAAGAATCCCCTTGGTTCCCATGACATTGGTTCACATTGGAACCAATGTCATGGGATGACCCGGGAGTGCTCCGGTGCCCCGTTCGTAAAATTGACGGTTCCTACCCTCCCTAATCCCTCGGTAAACTCCCCACCCCGCCCCGACCCAACACACCCTCCCACTCCCTTCAATTGCACCCCCAAGTTAATTTTGACTTTGGAGAATTTTTTTTGACTCCAAGTCAAAATTAACTTGGGGGTGCAATTGTAGGGGGTGGGGGGGTGTTCAGGTCGGGGAGGGGTTAAGAGGAGTAGGAACCATTAATTTTACGAACAGGGCACCGGAGTACCCATGAGTCATTCCATGACATTGGTTCCCAATGTCATGGGAACCGGCCTCATTAAGAATACTCGTGTTATATTTAAGAGGAGCCTCGAATGTTACACTACTTGTAGTGGTGTTAAATCGCGACACCAGTTCAATTGAAGCACCTTCATTCGTAAAATTGACAAATCCTACCCTAGCCACCTAGCAATTTAGGGGGGTAGGAACCATCGATTTTACGAACGAAACACCATACATGCTTCATTTGAACTGGTGTTATTTTTGTTAGCGTGACTTTAGAGGCTCTCATATTTAAGACTCAAGTTTGTGCACAATTACAACAAATACAACAAAATCCGACAATAAAGGGTCAGGGGAAGGTGTGTAAGTAGACTTTACAGACATTACCCCTCCTCGAAAGTAGAGAGGTTTCCAAGAGACCCCTGACTTAAACACGGAAGCAGAAATTTACCAATTTTGAGTTGGCGTGTGAGCCCATCTTGGTGTTGCTGCTGGTGAACTTGAGCAAAGGAATTAGAGCAAATGGGAGTTCGAATGATAAGATCATCTGCGATATCGACACGAATACAAACACACACACACAAAATGGTTAGTCACTCGCGACATTAATATCATATCGTTCACTTTATATCGAGCTTTTCAGAATTTGTTTTTTTAAAAATACATTCCAAAAGACCTTATAATAATGGCCTTGGGGGAGTACATATATTTTGGTCATTCTAAGACAATTATGAACTAACATTGTACAAAGGAGGGGAAGACATATTACCGAAGCAATGATGATTAAGTCTCCCGCACCAGTTGAACCACCGATAATTGAAACAATTAGGCTTGGAACAATGGCTAAGCCCCTTGTTAGCATGTTCCTAATCCATGGCCTCAACCGTAAATCCAAAAACCCCTAAAATCAATTAAGACGAATATCAAATCGTGCGTCACCCCAACCTCACCGTTGTTAAAATAACAGTCATGTCATCTCTTGTTTCATAGAGCATTTGATATAGGTTTTTTTAAATATATATGAGTAAATTTTATTTTAAACTTTTGTACAATTATTTGAAAAAAAATTGAACTAAAAATAAACCCACTCAAACCTCGTTATCTGAAATGGGACAATAATTTTGGGACGGAATGAATAACAAATAAAAAAAGATTGCCTGCATAACGTATTGTCCAGCGTACGTCCCCGTGATCGTAGAACTCTGTCCCGAAGCTAACAAAGCAATCGCAAAAAGCTTTGAACTCCAATTGCCCAAAACATTCTGCACAATATGAATCACATAAATAACCAATACCATTAACAAACAAATGTTATTAGTATGTTTGGAACTGATTATTATTATTACTCCCTCCGTCCCGGAGTATTCGTCCAGTTTTGACTTTTGGAACTGTTCATCTAAGCACTTTGACTCATCAAATTCTCTCAATGTGTAAGCCTAAATATAGTCATGTGTGATCTTGCTTGATTTGTCTTAGCATATAGATTATTAATATATAATTTCTATAATTTTTTAATATACAAATTAGAAGATGAAATGGATTAAAGAAGTGTGTTGGATGGTGTGTAAAAATGAAAGTGGACAAATACTCTGGGACGGAGGTAGTATTATGTGTGTGTGTGTGTGTGTATACACACACATATATATAAAACTCTTAGTTTTTGCTTTGGATGGAAGCAGTTTGAAATGTTTGAGAGTGATTGATTTAAGTTTTCTTAAAGAGATGAAGAAGCAAAAGTTGAGAAGAGGTTCATACTTTGAGTAAAAAAGAGGCTTTGTTGAGGTCCAAGTCGGAGCAGCTCTGTTGATACTCAACGCTCAAAGTTGGGGAATTGCAAACCGCGCCGCTCACAGAAATGACACAAATGTTAATCACAAACGCAACTATTAACGCTATGCCGCTCTCAACCATGTAACACGTGCAAGCCTCCTGCACAAAAAAAAACATTAACAAATATAAGAACATGAGTTACTCGACAAACCCAAGGACTAATATATAAAAAACGTACGTTGATTCCATTTGTAGACCTTGGAACTTTTCTGGATAGCACAAGAGCCGAATGGAGAAAGAGGTTGTGCCTAAAGCAATCACAAGAAAAAGGATTAAGACAATTGACAAAGTCTTATCTAAGATCATATACTCAGTAAGATCCTGAAGTCATAAGTCAAGAGAGTACTAAGACAATACACTTACGGCATAACCATGGCGCCAAGAAGGGAAATGGCGAGTTTAGTGGCCCCGGTTCCCTTGAGTTGAGGAACAAAAAGCCCTTCAAGAACCTCAGAGGATTTCGGCTTCGCGTATCTGAGCTCAACACAGAAGCACACAACAATGGTGAACACCAAGAAAGCTATGAGTATCTCAAGCTTCCTCACCTACAACAAAGCTATGGTCATATCAAAAATCAAATCTTGTGTAACGAAATGATCCTTGAAGTTTATAATATAACAAGAACGAAAACCCAGAAGAAAAAAACATTTTTCTAGCCAGAAAAGAAAACTATTTTCACGCACAAAATTATACGAATGAAAACTACCTACCCCGTATTGTTGTAATAGTAGCAGAATTAATGTGCTGAACCCTGTGATGAGCACACCACACCATAGCGGTATCTTGAAGAGCATGTTCAAAGCAAATGCCGTTCCAATCACTGCAAAAAAGATCAAATTTTAATGCTACACAGTTTGCAAATTCTCAAACAACTTATCAACCATTGTGCCTAAGGTAGATTAATAAAACTCTAACCTTCTGGAATGTCGCAGGCAACAATGGCAACTTCTGCAAGAACCCATAGGAGGAAATTCGGCACCTTCGGGTATTCCTTTCTGCAGTGCTCAGCTAAATGCTTCCCTGTCATAAACACAAATGCACATTTGTAATAGCTAACCTAAGCCAAATATAAACATAGATACAGATTGGGTAAATGTGAAACCAGTGACGACTCCGAGGTTTGCTGCAAGGGATTGGATTAGAAGGGCTGCAAATGAAGCTAATAATATGATCCATAGTAACTGCAGAATCAAGAAATGCTTCTCAGGAATTGTTCATACATCACATGATAATTATAGCAGCATATCTTACATTTCAGCCATGGCAACAGCTTTTGACAATGGATTATGTTGAAGAATAATACTCTTATACTTGAATAAAAAGATGTATTTGTTTTTGAAAATACTATGTAATAATAAGAGTAACCCCAAATCCCTAGCCCGCCCCGTTGTCCCCCATGAACATTGGATTAGCATAGAGAGTTGGGTGGGTTAGAGAGGGTAGAAACCAGTTTTTGTATCGAACAAAGTATCGTAGGATCCTCAAATGGACCGGGTGTCATAATAATAATAATAATAGTCATGATAATTATAATTATAATTATTACTACTTATATAAATATTTTTACTATTGATGTTTTTGATAGTTATAGAATATTTAAAGAAATGGGCAAAAAAGAGGCATAACGCTAACTTGCTAAGTTTGAATCAACACTTTTCAAGGCATAATGTTGAGTTTCAAGATAGAGACTGCAAGAACATGTGCTTACCCCATATTTGTATTGGGCCCCAGCCTGTAGATCTGTCTGAACTGCAAGCAATATATTCTAAAAGTGAAAAAATAGTTATAGAAAAGAACTAATATCTATGTCTAAAAATTAGACAGCAAAGAAAGGGATGTTACAGTTTCCAGGGTCAATATAGGCAATGCACACAAGGAAGCCTGGACCCAAATATGCAAAGAAGTTTTTCCAGCTCTTCTTCTGTGCAAATATAAGAAATACCAAGTGTCATCAAAGTCATATAACTCACAGCAATTTCACAAAGTTTTTAGTAAAAACCATCCATTCCAAAATTGCCCTCAAACAACACAACAAATTTCCCAGTAAAAACACACAAAAAGTAGGGTGTAGGGAGAGCGTGTGCTCGCATATCTTACCCCTATAGGAAGTAGAGAGGCTATTTCCAAGAGCTTTCCGGCTCAAAAACAGAACAGAACCACAAGAACACGAACAAAGCACAAAATGCACACAAGCACCAACCACAAACCAAGACATAAAAACATCCAAGCATAAACTACAAAGTAAGGCCCACATGTCTTCCCAATTATACTTTAGTCCTAGATCTCCAAGCGCTTCTACCATCAAAGCAAAAAATTGCCCTTGTTGCAACAAAAAATGTTAAAAGATTAATGGCCTGAATGAGATGGAAATATAGTACTCAGTCAACTAGTAATTCGTAAACAAAACCATGAATGGGCCTACTTGATTCCCATTATTTGACTTGGGATTTGAGGCAAAAACAAAAACATGGGTAGGGTAAACACATGAAAATGACAAGACATAGGCTTCATCAAGCCTATTAAAAGCTTTAGAAACATAAGACCAAAGACCATAAACCTTAAAAAAGAATGACTAGACAGAGTCCAAACCTGAAAGTGAAATCAGGCCAAGAAAAAATAGGGAAACCCAGCCAATCCCACTAGAATAATGCTATTTTAACACCAGGATGACATCAAGATTGACACCGTGGTGTGATCGCACCATCAGAGAAAATCACACGTCGATAGTGTCATCCTTGGTGTGGTCGTAGCATGACCCATAGTTGTATCACACACTGTCTCTGTGTGATTGTCTCTAATGGCATCGACATTGGCATCATCATGGTTTGAAGTAACATTTTCCACTAATTTTATATAAAAAATGTTCATTTCTAGTTTTTACTGTCCCATAATCTAAGGAAATGATAACTCATACTCATCAATAGAAACAATTAAGAGACATCAAGAACTAAAATTGTTCTCTGCAACTAAATCATATACCCAATTTAATCCAAAAAAAGAATCAAATCTAAAAACCCAATTTTTCAAAAAAATATATATATTGAATTCATGTGAAGAACAAGAAAAATCACTTAAAGATATGATTTTTTCCCCAAGAAACAAGATAAACCACTCCATATAAGCACTGTAAATTCTTCATGTGTGCAGAATAAAAAGGAAAATTGGAGAGAGAGACTGACGTCGGGAACAACAATCTGGTCGCATTCAATGTTATCAATGAGCGGTTCACTGGGGAGGCTCCGATTGCCGGTGCCGGTCATGAACTGAGACTGTGTGGATTGCAAAGCCGCCATTTTTTCCGGTCCCCTTTTCTCCGAAGCTCAGTTATTGTATAAGAGTCGCATGTATCGGAGAAATTTCAAGAAACGCCCGGCCGGATAAACGCCGGGGAGTGACGGAATCTGCCGGTATTACGCAGTCTGTTGCGTCGCGTGCATATGTTTTGTATAAATACACGGACTACTCCCCAACTTCAAACTTTCCTCTATATATGGCATACAAAATTCTTATCTTTTAAAAACTAATTTTTTTCGTATATTTTTCTTTAAATTGTTAAGTCTCGAAATTGTTTTCGTTATTACTCCCATATTATAAAAAAAGTGAGATTGTTTTTTTTCCTATTTTTACTTATTTTTTAATCATTTATTAGTATAAAATAGTCATGTCCATTTCTATTTCATAGAGACTTTGATATTATTTTTTAATTTATAAATTTTATTTAAAAACGTGACATTATTTAAATAAATTAGATTAAGAATTAACTCAGTCAAACTTCATTAACTAATTTAAAATAAATGAAGTAGTATTTTTTTAGTCAAACAAAATTTTTTTATGGGACAAAATAAATAATGTAATTGCACTACATCAACTATTTATTTTTATACTAATAATTCTACTATAATAACAATATGCTCTCTCCGTCACTAAAATGATTTTTTATTCTTCTTTTTTTATTGTCCTCGAAAATTCTCATTTATTTCATTTAGGAAAAAAATTAATGTTTTACATCATATATTTTTTTTCTTATGCAATATTTGAAATAATAAATAAAATATACCATTTAATTAGATAAAATAATATTTAAAAAATATTTGATATAATACCATTTTTGTATTAATATTTAATAACATTCTTATTTAATTTAAAATCAAAATTTATTAATTATAATTAAAAATGTCGAAAATGTACAAATACTCGTAGTCGTAGGTAGAAAAAATAAAGGATGATTGAAACAAAAAGAGTGCCTGAGCTGAAGACCGCACAGTCTTTGCCTCCCACTTTTAAAGCCAAATAAAATCTTGACCATCAAATTACAATGGAAGAATAATTTTGGTTTGTGACAAATGACAAGGACCAATGTTCACTCCCCCCTCATATACGGAAGAGTTTTTTTCCACCCTTAGATAATTTATATAATGTAAAGAATAATCATCGGTGCAACTATGTCTAAAGACGATTATCGTCTATATATATAAATCAATAAATCCATGAAGAATCTGTGGTGAATCCGCAATATTTATGTATTGTCTGTACATACATGTGAAAAAATGGTTAAAATTTGGTAAGTGGTGGGTTACACTTTCTTTTTCAAAATGTTTAAAACTCAGCAAGTTAAAGAAGAAAATTTGGGTTATGATCATAATCTCGTCAAGAAAAATTGAAATTTATGCATAGCGAATGCAATAATATCATGCATAAAGTCATTATTGTCAGGAGTGAAATCTGGATTTACTGACATAAGAAATATAGCATAATAAAAATATATTTCATTGGTAACGGCCTAAGTTGTTTGATTCCATCTAGCACAAAAGTCAACAAACCACACTTTAAAATCTAAAGCCTTAGCCATGTGGATATATGAGAGTTTACAATTTAAATCCCACAAAATACGCAAAGTAAAGAATATATGTGCATTCTTTTCATTTGAAAAAGGCAAAAGAATCTAACATCTCATTTTTGTTGTTAGTCATCTCAAATTCTATTATGGTGTCTCATTTTTGTTGTTATGCGTATAAATTTAAAAATACAATTTCTATATCAAAAAAGTAAATCAAAAGATATACTCCCCCGTCCATGTATGATCTTCTCATTACGCGTTACGATGCTTGACTGACTTTATTTTCAATTCAATTTAATTTATTATAGGAGTAAAATTTTAAAATAGAATTTATATAGTAATAAACTACATGAAAAGTTCTACAAAACTAGAGGTGACAAGACTATATTATTTTATGAAATGACTAGTAAAATTGAGCAAACAAAGTGAGTAAAGTTTGACCCTGTGAATAGTGTCTGGGAAGATCTATGGTGTGGACAGAGGGAGTACAAAATTAGAAACGATACGAGTATATTATGTTTTATCTAATACTAATGAAAATTTGTAAAAAAAAAAGTGAATAAAATTTGATCGTGTGAATCGTAATTGAAAAGATGGTTTTATATGGACGAAGTATTATAATTATTACGTTGTTTTTAAGTTGCTGGTATATTACTCCCTTTGTCCCACACTTGATTATACTCTTCATTATTCCAAAATCACGGCAATTTTTTTTATTTGTGCATTTTCATTATTTATTTGATAAAATAAAATATTCTTGTCAAATCTTGTCTTAAACAACGTTTGATATAGTTTTTAAATATGCATGTTTATTTTATATTTCTATATGAATCTTTAAATAAAATGAATTCAGAAAAGTTGGGATTTTTCTTTGTTTTCTGCTATTTGTAATCTATTATGGGATGAAGGAAGTATTCAATATTATTTCTGGCACGGAGAACTCCATAGGTAGAAGTAAAAAAATTATGAAAATACCAAAATACAATTGATAATTCTTTTAAGACCAAAATAGGTGTTCACATTGTCATTGTTATACTGTCACGTTCACCACATTGTCACATTGTAACTGTTACACTATCACTGCCACACATCCATCCGTCGTCGCCGGCCACCAGAGTGTTGCCGTGGATCACCAACGGTTGACTTATCACACTAATATATTACATTGTCGTCACTTTTCGAACACACTGACAATACATACTCTAACACTACAATACCATTACACTCGATCTTATTTTAATCTTAAAAGACTTAAGATTTCTATTTTGATATTTTCTTACTTTTTACTCATATTTGTAGAGATTTCTTTTTCTCACATGGTTAAATAGGTTCACAGAAAGAATATTGGTCTAATGATTAAATCGTAAAAATGGTTGTTTGAACTCTAAGGTACAGAGTTCAATTCTTAAACAAGTAATCTCCGAGAAACATACTGCAGTGACATTAAATTTGATGTGGAGTCCAAAATACTCTCTCGTCTCTATTTTGATTACAAAATGAAAATTACAAGGTAAAATCTCATGGTTTTTGAAATCATTTTATTTACAAATTAGTAAATTAATAAGAAATAAAAATTACATATTAAAAAACTACATCAAAAATTCTACAAAACAAGATGTAACATCAATATTTTATCAAATAATCAATGAAAACGCACAAATGAACAAAAGTTATCAAGATGAGAGATAAATAAAATTGTAATCAAAATTGGGATAGAGGGGGTATTTTAAAGAGTTTATTGCACAAACGTCCCATGTTGTTTGGTAAATGTACATTGTTGCCCTCCATGATTTCAAAACTTACGTCGTTGTCCCTCATATTTTTGATATTACTATGCCAATGTCTCTTTGAACAAATAACTCCGCTATCCCCTATGGTTTTGGGCATCAATGCCCCCTCTACTTTTTTTCTTCATTGTTTTTCTTATTATTTTTTTTCATAAAAAGAAGAAAAATGTTGTGTGTGGAATAATGATTTTTATTTCAAAACTACATTTTTAAAAAAGTTTTAAAAATAAAAAAATATGTGTGTTTCAAATAAAAAAAACTTAACATATACTTCATTCGTCAAATTAAATATTTTCCTTTTTGTCTGAAAAAGTTTTTATGTTTTTGAATATGTCAGGACCAAAAGAGTACTGAGTAACATCTTTTTAATATATAATTAATTATATATTAATAACATTTTTTGGATCAATGCACAAAAAAATCATTTATGACTTAATTTTCCTTATTCTATAAAAGTATTTATCCATATACTTTTCTTTTTCTTCATTTTCTTTTCTATCCTTTTTTCTTTTATTTTAATTTGATTTTTGTATCATGAAAATGAACCAATAAAGATCTCCTTTGGACAAAAATTAAAAATGTTTCTTTTGAGACAAATGAAGTGTACGTTAATTCTTGTTATTTAATTGATTTTTATTGCAAACACAAAAAAATATGATCATTAAAATATTATAAAAAATAATTTAAAAAAATAAAAAATTTTTATGAAAAAATAGTAGAAAAAAGAAAATTAATAAAGAAAAAAGGGGGCATTTGTGTTAATTTTCAAAATCATAGGGAGTAGTAGAGCTATTTACATAATATTTGAAGAATATTTTACGGAGTAGTTCATAGGGAGTAGTTCCCTGCCACTTTAGAGTTTAGACTAGTGTCTTACAAAAATCTAACAGTGTAATCTTATGTCACACACTTTTGGTAATTTTTCCACATTCTTTGACTTGAATTTCCAAAGTACTTTAACTAATCATATTTCATACCGAGTAGATTGGTTTTTTTTCTTTTTGAAACACTTGAAGATCCCTTTTCTTAATTTCAGATTGGGAGAACATTGAGAAAAAAACTTGTGTGTAACAACTCTAATACTTGTTAGATATGTAAAAAATAATCTCCCCTATCAAATTTATTTCGATTAATTCCATCGTTCAACTATGCTGAGTATGTTAGCTCTCACTCATTATTATACATCATTCATGTTTTTAGAATGCGCAAAAAATAAAATAGACAAATCTTTCCGGGACTGAGAGTATGTCACTTGTGAGTTGTGAGTTAAGATAGAAATTTCTATCGACAATAGAGTTTTGTCATAAAAATGCATGATTTGTCTCGCATACAAAAAAACTAGTGTTAATCCTGTGCTCATATATATTTGAAAATTTTGACATTCTATAAATATAATTTTATTTATTTTAGTTTTCTAATAGTTACAAAATATGTTTTAAACTGGTAGATATAATTTATATTGGTATGTTAATTTAAAAACAAAAGAGTTATACAAAATTAATGGTCATTGAATAAAGTACTAATGAAAATGGTTTAAATAAATAAAATATTATAATAAAAAATGGATTAATTAAATAATGATATATCATTAAAGAATGTATATGTGGCATAATGCCACTTGTCACCCTTCAATTAAACCAACTTTATTCTATTTTCTTTGTTGAAAAATGTATGTGGCAATAAAATAAATAATGTAATAAGATAAAAGTTTTGAAACAAAGTATTTAGTTAATAAATATGCACATGTGATCAAGTTTATAAAATCATTTTTGAGAAATAATAAACTAAAA